CACACACAATTTGACACTCAGCAAATACAGCAGACTCTCCGTCCATTCTCAACACACGCACACACTTACATTGACACCATTAACAAGCAGATAGCGCGTTCATCGTTATTACACACACATACACACAGTCCGAACCGCGCTCCGCACAATCGAGTCATAAGAGAAAACCAAAATAGCCCCCCCGGCCCTCGAAAGATGAGTGAGGTGTGTGTTAAGGCCGGGTGCGTATCGTTATGACTCGCCCGGGGCTGCAGCAAGAAGAGGACAGCAGGGTGGCAACTTGAGACGCCTCGCAGAACTCGTTCGGCGACTTGACGGCTCCGTTGTCACGCACCCGAGCCAGGACGGGAAGCTCCCGCCCCAGCAGCTGCAGCATCGGCGTCTTCTCCTCGCAGCACCCCCTCGAAAAACAGCAGCTCACAGCAGGCTGCTCACCCCGCGGCACCTCCAGATGGCAGCGCAAGGCTGCCTCTCCGCCGCGATGTTGAAGATGGCGGCGTCCTCCCGCCGCGGTGAAGACAAGATGGCGGCTTCCCGCCGTTTCTCCCCTGCCACGCCCAAGATGGCGTCTTCGTGCCACGTGGCAATGGCGCTGGCAGCGCAGGAAAGGCAGAGGCCTGCGGATCACCACCGGGCCTCCCCGACGTCGTCCTCGGCGTGGTGAACTCACACAGTTGCGCCAGCACGATTTTCAAGGTCCCCATCTGCATCACCATCTGTCTCCATCGTAAGTTGGCATCCTCCGGCACAGACAGGTCCACCGACGCGGCGACACCTTGCTCACCCGGACCCGTACTCGTTCCAGAACGGATCTCCTCTTCCATCGCAGGCAGGTCCACTGTCTGAGGAAGGTCGTCGTCGTCGGATGATGTAGCAGGAATATTTTTTTTTCTTCTTTCTCTCAGTTGTTTTGAGATGCCGTTTCACTTCTGACTCCAGTGTAATAAAAGGACTCAGACACTTCTTTCTGTCTTCGTGTCCTTTATTTGGGGTTCGCGTTCTCCTTCCCACACGGCACTCCTCCTGAGACTCTCTCCCTGGCAGCCCCACATCTGCCTTCGCTCCCGTAGCCTTCCACGCTCCTGCAGCTCCGCTGCAGGCTCTTGGTACAGCCCTCTGGCTGCTCCCCCAGCAGCTCCATCGCTGCTCCCTGTTCCTCCGTGCGTGGCGATCTCGCCACCTCCCAACGTCAGCCCTTCGTGGCCTCTATGGCTATCTCGCCATCTCCTACCTCAATCCTCCACTCTCTCTTCCACCCCGCTGGCTGGCGCCGTCATGAGCCCCTCAGCCACCAGGCTGAGGCACGGCGACCACCCAACGTCTTCACCACCCTTCACTCCCCCGACTGCCCCAGATAGCTTCCTGTCTCCCCGCTATAACTTCTCCCCCACGTCACCCTGACTCCTCCCTCTCGGATCGTCATATCCGCCCCGCCCATTTACGCCCGCATTACACTAGGATAATGAGACACTGACAAGTAACATTAGTAGCTACTTGTGTTACTAGGATAATGAGACACTGACAAGTAACATTAGTAGCTACTTGTGTTACTAGGATAATGAGACACTGACAAGTAACATTAGTAGCTACTTGTGTTACTAGGATAATGAGACACTGACAAGTAACATTAGTAGCTACTTGTGTTACTAGGTTAATGAGACACTGACAAGTAACATTAGTAGCTACTTGTGTTACTAGGATAATGAGACACTGACAAGTAACATTAGTAGCTACTTGTGTTACTAGGATAATGAGACACTGACAAGTAACATTAGTAGCTACTTGTGTTACTAGGATAATGAGACACTGACAAGTAACATTAGTACCTACTTGTGTTACTAGGTTAATGACACTGACAAGTAACATTAGTAGCTACTTGTGCTACTAGGATAATGAGACACTGATAAGTAACATTAGTAGCTACTTGTGTTACTAGGATAATGAGACACTGACAAGTAACATTAGTAGCTACTTGTGTTACTAGGATAATGAGACACTGACAAGTAACATTAGTAGCTACTTGTGTTACTAGGATAATGAGACACTGACAAGTAACATTAGTAGCTACTTGTGTTACTAGGATAATGAGACACTGACAAGTAACATTAGTAGCTACTTGTGCTACTAGGATAATGAGACACTGACAAGTAACATTAGTAGCTACTTGTGTTACTAGGATAATGAGACACTGACAAGTAACATTAGTAGCTACTTGTGCTACTAGGATAATGAGACACTGACAAGTAACATTAGTAGCTACTTGTGCTACTAGGATAATGAGACACTGATAAGTAACATTAGTAGCTACTTGTGTTACTAGGATAATGAGACACTGACAAGTAACATTAGTACCTACTTGTGTTACTAGGTTAATGACACTGACAAGTAACATTAGTAGCTACTTGTGTTACTAGGATAATGAGACACTGACAAGTAACATTAGTAGCTACTTGTGTTACTAGGTTAATGAGACACTGACAAGTAACATTAGTAGCTACTTGTGTTACTAGGATAATGAGACACTGACAAGTAACATTAGTAGCTACTTGTGTTACTAGGTTAATGAGACACTGACAAGTAACATTAGTAGCTACTTGTGTTACTAGGTTAATGAGACACTGACAAGTAACATTAGTAGCTACTTGTGCTACTAGGTTAATGAGACACTGACAAGTAACATTAGTAGCTACTTGTGTTACTAGGATAATGAGACACTGACAAGTAACATTAGTAGCTACTTGTGCTACTAGGATAATGAGACATTGACAAGTAGCATTAGTAGCTACTTGTGCTACTAGGTTAATGAGACACTGACAAGTAACATTAGTAGCTACTTGTGCTACTAGGATAATGAGACACTGACAAGTAGCATTAGTAGCTACTTGTGTTACTAGGATAATGAGACATTGACAAGTAACATTAGTAGCTACTTGTGCTACTAGGTTAATGAGACACTGACAAGTAGCATTAGTAGCTACTTGTGTTACTAGGTTAATGAGACACTGACAAGTAACATTAGTAGCTACTTGTGCTACTAGGTTAATGAGACACTGACAAGTAACATTAGTAGCTACTTGTGCTACTAGGATAATGAGACACTGACAAGTAACATTAGTAGCTACTTGTGCTACTAGGTTAATGAGACACTGACAAGTAACATTAGTAGCTACTTGTGCTACTAGGATAATGAGACACTGACAAGTAACATTAGTAGCTACTTGTGCTACTAGGTTAATGAGACACTGACAAGTAACATTAGTAGCTACTTGTGCTACTAGGATAATGAGACACTGACAAGTAACATTAGTAGCTACTTGTGCTACTAGGTTAATGAGACACTGACAAGTAACATTAGTAGCTACTTGTGCTACTAGGTTAATGAGACACTGACAAGTAACATTAGTAGCTACTTGTGCTACTAGGATAATGAGACACTGACAAGTAACATTAGTAGCTACTTGTGCTACTAGGTTAATGAGACACTGACAAGTAACATTAGTAGCTACTTGTGCTACTAGGATAATGAGACACTGACAAGTAACATTAGTAGCTACTTGTGCTACTAGGTTAATGAGACACTGACAAGTAACATTAGTAGCTACTTGTGCTACTAGGTTAATGAGACACTGACAAGTAACATTAGTAGCTACTTGTGCTACTAGGTTAATGAGACACTGACAAGTAACATTAGTAGCTACTTGTGTTACTAGGTTAATGAGACACTGACAAGTAACATTAGTAGCTACTTGTGCTACTAGGATAATGAGACACTAACAAGTAACATTAGTAGCTACTTGTGCTACTAGGATAATGAGACACTGACAAGTAACATTAGTAGCTACTTGTGTTACTAGGTTAATGAGACACTGACAAGTAACATTAGTAGCTACTTGTGTTACTAGGATAATGAGACACTAACAAGTAACATTAGTAGCTACTTGTGTTACTAGGTTAATGAGACACTGACAAGTAACATTAGTAGCTACTTGTGTTACTAGGATAATGAGACACTAACAAGTAACATTAGTAGCTACTTGTGTTACTAGGATAATGAGACACTGACAAGTAACATTAGTAGCTACTTGTGCTACTAGGTTAATGAGACACTGACAAGTAACATTAGTAGCTACTTGTGCTACTAGGATAATGAGACACTGACACGTAACATTAGTAGCTACTTGTGTTACTAGGTTAATGAGACACTGACAAGTAACATTAGTAGCTACTTGTGCTACTAGGATAATGAGACACTGACACGTAACATTAGTAGCTACTTGTGCTACTAGGTTAATGAGACACTGACACGTAACATTAGTAGCTACTTGTGTTACTAGGATAATGAGACACTGACAAGTAACATTAGTAGCTACTTGTGTTACTAGGATAATGAGACACTGACACGTAACATTAGTAGCTACTTGTGCTACTAGGATAATGAGACACTGACACGTAACATTAGTAGCTACTTGTGTTACTAGGATAATGAGACACTGACAAGTAACATTAGTAGCTACTTGTGTTACTAGGTTAATGAGACACTGACAAGTAACATTAGTAGCTACTTGTGCTACTAGGATAATGAGACACTGACAAGTAACATTAGACGTAGGGGAGGCTCAGGACCGGCTCAGAAAGTGTCTCTGGCGGCGTTGGCCACGAGCGGGAATGGAACTCGGCTGGTCGGTGCGGAGCGCTGCGCTCAGCACGTCACTGCCAACAACAACAAACTTGAACTCTGACCCCGCCCTCTGACGTCACCGCTCAGCGTGACCTCATCGGCGTCAAACGCCACGGGGAGGTGTGCCTTGTTAGTGACGTCATGTGACCAAGGTATTCACCCAACTCACGCGCTCTTGAGCGTGACGTCACCTCCGCTCGGCCGATGTCTGTTCCAGTACTAATCCTTATTTGGGCAAAGCTACGCCCGGTGACTGGCGGCTCATTAACATAATTTATTTAAGTTGCAGAGCCGCTCGTTGTGGGAGGAGAGTGTCTTGTCCTGCAAGTGACGTCATGTCACCTCGTGACGTCACGAGGGACCAGGAAGTTGCCGCTCCGCGCTCGCACTGCAATCCGAGGTGAGAAATTCTCATCGCGGTTGTTGTGGTGGTTGTTGTTGTGGTGGTTGTTGTGGTGGTTGTTGTTGTTTACCGAGGTAGAGCCTTGCTCTCTCTCTCGTAGGGATGTCAATTGAGTAGCAGCGAGCATGGAAGCGATGTGCAGGGTGGAACTTTACAACGCGGGGCCTAGTGCCTCCTGCCCTCGCCTGATGGCGTTCGCTTCAATTCTCTCGCTTAAGTTTAATTTGTCTTGACCCGGATCGCCACTTTGTACCTTTGTTTAAATATTCTATACTAACACAGTTTCTTTTTTCATTTTTTACCAGGCCACGCCCGCTTGAGCTGCTGTACCGCTCTTGTTTTCAGAAGCGACCTGCCAACAACAACAACAAGGCAGAGGTGGGACAAAGTCATTGTTATGCAAGTCCAAGTCGAATCTGAAGTCATCAAATTCATGACTCGAGTCTGACTCGAGTCCACACCTCTGCAACAAGGTGAGGCTCGTCAACAGCGTGGCGGTGTTCACTTTAGACGCGTGGCGGTGTTCACTCTAGACGCGTGGCGGTGTTCACTTTAGACGCGTGGCGGTGTTCACTCTAGACACGTGGTGGTGTTCACTCTAGACGCGTGGCGGTGTTCACTCTAGACGCGTGGCGGTGTTCACTCTAGACGCGTGGCGGTGTTCACTTTAGACGCGTGGCGGTGTTCACTCTAGACGCGTGGCGGTGTTCACTCTAGACGCGTGGCGGTGTTCACTCTAGACGCGTGGCGGTGTTCACTCTAGACACGTGGTGGTGTTCACTCTAGACACGTGGTGGTGTTCACTCTAGACGCGTGGTGGTGTTCACTCTAGACGCGTGGCGGTGTTCACTCTAGACGCGTGGCGGTGTTCACTCTAGACGCGTGGCGGTGTTCACTCTAGACACGTGGCGGTGTTCACTCTAGACGCGTGGCGGTGTTCACTCTAGACGCGTGGCGGTGTTCACTCTAGACGCGTGGCGGTGTTCACTCTAGACGCGTGGTGGTGTTCACTCTAGACACGTGGCGGTGTTCACTCTAGACGCGTGGCGGTGTTCACTCTAGACGCGTGGCGGTGTTCACTCTAGACACGTGGCGGTGTTCACTCTAGACACGTGGTGGTGTTCACTCTAGACACGTGGTGGTGTTCACTCTAGACACGTGGTGGTGTTCACTCTAGACGCGTGGCGGTGTTCCCTCTAGACACGTGGCGGTGTTCACTCTAGACACGTGGTGGTGTTCACTCTAGACACGTGGTGGTGTTCACTCTAGACGCGTGGCGGTGTTCCCTCTAGACACGTGGCGGTGTTCCCTCTAGACACGTGGCGGTGTTCACTCTAGACGCGTGGCGGTGTTCACGCTAGACGCGTGGTGGTGTTCACTCTGGACGCGTGGCGGTGTTCACTCTAGACACGTGGTGGTGTTCACTCTAGACGCGTGGCGGTGTTCCCTCTAGACACGTGGTGGTGTTCACTCTAGACACGTGGTGGTGTTCACTCTAGACGCGTGGCGGTGTTCACTCTAGACGCGTGGCGGTGTTCACTCTAGACGCGTGGTGGTGTTCACTCTGGACGCGTGGCGGTGTTCACTCTAGACACGTGGTGGTGTTCACTCTGGACGCGTGGCGGTGTTCACTCTAGACGCGTGGCGGTGTTCACTCTAGACACGTGGTGGTGTTCACTCTGGACGCGTGGCGGTGTTCACTCTAGACGCGTGGCAATGTTCACTCTGGACGCGTGGTGGTGTTCACTCTAGACGCGTGGCGGTGTTCACTCTAGACGTGTGGCGGTGTTCACTCTAGACACGTGACGATGTTCACTCTAGACGCGTGGTGGTGTTCACTCTAGACGCGTGGTGGTGTTCACTCTGGACACGTGGTGGTGTTCACTCTAGACACGTGACGATGTTCACTCTAGACGCGTGGTGGTGTTCACTCTAGACACCTGGCGGTGTTCACTCTAGACACGTGGCGGTGTTCACTCTAGACGTGTGACGGTGTTCACTCTAGACACGTGACGATGTTCACTCTAGACGCGTGGTGGTGTTCACTCTAGACGCGTGGTGGTGTTCACTCTAGACGCGTGGTGGTGTTCACTCTAGACGCGTGGTGGTGTTCACTCTGGACGTGTGGTGGTGTTCACTCTAGACGCGTGGTGGTGTTCACTCTAGACGCGTGGCGGTGTTCACTCTAGACACGTGGTGGTGTTCACTCTAGACGCATGGTGGTGTTCACTCTAGACGCGTGGTGGTGTTCACTCTAGACACGTGGCGGTGTTCACTCTGGACGTGTGGTGGTGTTCACTCTAGACGCGTGGTGGTGTTCACTCTAGACGCGTGGTGGTGTTCACTCTGGACGTGTGGTGGTGTTCACTCTAGACGCATGGTGGTGTTCACTCTAGACGCGTGGCGGTGTTCACGCTAGACGCGTGGCGGTGTTCACTCTGGACGCATGGTGGTGTTCACTCTAGACACGTGGTGGTGTTCACTCTGGACGCGTGGCGGTGTTCACTCTAGACGCGTGGCAATGTTCACTCTAGACGCGTGGCGGTGTTCACTCTAGACGCGTGGCGGTGTTCACTCTAGACGCATGGCGGTGTTCACTCTAGACGCATGGCGGTGTTCACTCTAGACGCGTGGCGGTGTTCGCTCTGGACGCGTGGCGGTGTTCACTCTAGACACATGGCGGTGTTCACTCTAGACGTGTGGCGGTGTTCACTCTAGACGCGTGGCTGTGTTCACTCTAGACACGTGGCAGTGGTCACTCTAGACACGTGGCGGTGTTCACTCTAGACACGTGGCGGTGTTCACTCTAGACGCGTGGCGGTGTTCGCTCTGGACGCGTGGCGGTGTTCACTCTAGACACGTGGTGGTGTTCACTCTAGACGTGTGGCGGTGTTCACTCTAGACGCGTGGCGGTGTTCACTCTAGACACGTGGCAGTGGTCACTCTAGACGCATGGCGGTGTTCACTCTAGACGCGTGGCGGTGTTTGCTCTGGACGCGTGGCGGTGTTCACTCTAGACGTGTGGCGGTGTTCACTCTAGACGCTTGGCGGTGTTCACTCTAGACACGTGGCAGTGTTCACTCTAGACGTGTGGCGGTGTTCACTCTAGACGCTTGGCGGTGTTCACTCTAGACACGTGGCGGTGTTCACTCTAGACACGTGGCAGTGGTCACTCTAGACACGTGGCGGTGTTCACTCTAGACACGTGGCGGTGTTCACTCTAGACGCATGGCGGTGTTCACTCTAGACGCGTGGCGGTGTTCGCTCTGGACGCGTGGCGGTGTTCACTCTAGACACGTGGCGGTGTTCACTCTAGACGTGTGGCGGTGTTCACTCTAGACGCTTGGCGGTGTTCACTCTAGACACGTGGTGGTGTTCACTCTAGACACGTGGCAGTGGTCACTCTAGACACGTGGCGGTGTTCACTCTAGACACGTGGCGGTGTTCACTCTAGACGCGTGGCGGTGTTCGCTCTGGACGCGTGGCGGTGTTCACTCTAGACACGTGGTGGTGTTCACTCTAGACGTGTGGCGGTGTTCACTCTAGACGCGTGGTGGTGTTCACTCTCTACATGTGGAGGGGAAACCCGGGGATCGGCAGCTGTAGAAGTACGGCGCGCGAAGAGCCATGTGGTAGGGGGGTAAGCATTGCAGAGCGCTTAGCTCAGGTGTGATGCGGGTTGATGCCACATACGTCATGGTCATTTCCCCCCCCCCCCCCCCAAAATACAAAAGTCTATTTTTCTTTCCTGAAGGCATCAACACGTTCAGCGAGCGCGATGACGATCACACACGTCGAATGAAAAGCAAGGGACAAGTCCTTTCTTACTAACAACTCCTTTCTCACTAACAACTCCTTACTTACTAACAACTCCTGTAATTTTTCATTGCTGGAGGGGTTTCCCCCCCCTACCTGAAAATCCTGGCTCCACCTCTGAGTGTGTGACAGTGTCAAGTTTGTATTTGCAGTAAAGTCTATTAACTCTATTGAGCACAGAGGTTATATCAAAACAGTAGTTTATTTTATTTTTCCTCTGGAACTATTCTTTGGTTCTTTCGGTTAAGTCACGTCTAAAGATAAAATAATAAATTAAAATAAAAGCAGTATGCTTTTATTTTCATTCATTATTTTATCTTTAGACGTGACTTAACCGAAAGAACCAAAGAATAATTCCTGCAGTCACGAAAGCTCCATAATTAAGATTCCTCTGGAACTCTTTGTAAGAATGGAGTCAGGAAGTGATCACAGCACACACGTGCAGCAGCTGAAGTCGGAACTGCTCATCCCAGCAATCAAGGACATCTGTGCCTGGCTTCACACCTTTAAGTTGCGATTGAACATTAATTTATGCATTTGTGCGTGACACAAATAGTATTATTTTCAACACCCTTTGCTATGTCAGCTGAATTTAGCTTTCATAAACATTTATTTAGAAGCCAGACAGCTGAAATTGTGTGCTGAGTTTTGGGTTAACGTTCATTTTGAAGATACGAGGGCTTCCAGGCATGTTTATGACCATTTGGCCTCTCTTTGTGTGCCATAACAGCCCGTGTGATGAATTTGGGACACTTTTTTTTTACTATATCATAAATATATGAATAATTATAGACGTGTAAGTCACGTGTGACTGTGTATATGCATTCCTCTGGGCCTCGATACTGACGTGTAGATGGTGTGGATATTCTTTGTTTCTGTCTGCAGCTGTCGCTGCCTCTGCAGAAGTGGTCTCATGGAGCAAAGGCACTCGGCGCAGCTCGGTGCAAAAAGGCATCAATGCGACCGGTGTGCATACAGCACGGATCGTCCTGCACATTTGACACTGCACCAGAGAACTCACACTGGGGAGAAACCCTTCAAGTGCAGTGTGTGTGGGAAGGCGTTTGCACGGTCATCTACTCTTGTAGAACACCAGAGAACACACACGGGAGAGAAACCCTTCAAGTGCAGTGTGTGTGGGAAGACGTTTGCACATTCATCTGCTCTTGTAGCACACCAGAGAACTCACACGGGAGATAAACCCTTCAAGTGCAGTGTGTGTGGGAAGGTGTTTGGACAGTCATCTGCTCTTGTAAAACACCAGAGAACCCACACGGGAGAGAAACCCTTTAAGTGCACTTTGTGTGGGAAGGCGTTTTCATATTCATCTGCTCTTGTAAGACACCAGAGAACACACACGGGAGAGAAACCCTTTAAGTGCACTTTGTGTGGGAAGGCGTTTTCAGATTCATCTGCTCTTGTAAAACACCAGAGAACCCTCATGGGAGAGAAACCCTTCAAGTGCAGTGTGTGTGGGAAGGCGTTTTCACGTTCATCTGATCTTAAAATACACCAGAGAACACACACGGGAGAAAAACCCTTCAAGTGCGGTGTGTGTGAGAAGGCGTTTACACTTTTACCAAATCTTCAAAGACACCAGAGAACACACAAGCATCAGAAGATCCACCAGGAGTGGAGTCTGAAATCAGCTTGTGAAAGTCAAAGTTCTGCAATGAGCCCATCCCTCATGAAACAAGAACCGGAAGAACATCCCAGCCTGGACACTTTCAAAGAAATCGAGGTGAAATATGAAGAGGTGAAGGTGGAATGTGAAGACGTGATGGTAAAGAGCGAAGAAGTGAAGGTAAAATGTGAAGATGAAGATTCAACTCCAAAATCGGACTTTCACATCGATGGAGGCAACGTGAAGCAGGAGGAGAATTCTGACTGTGAGGCAGAGCGAGGCAACTCCCAGCAGTTTGTGGAAGTGGAGGTGTGGGTGGACTTCCTCCGAGACAGTACAAAGTCGAATGGAGACCCGGTAGATGTGTAAGCCTGAAACGATGTCGCTCCAATAGATGCACCTTTGTCACAGGCCTTTAATGACAATAATGTGAAGTTGAACACTCAGTTCCTAGGTGCAACCTGCAGGGTAAGAGCGGCCAGTCTTTGTGGACCTGTGTGTTGGGTAGATCTCTAACTAGGAGCGAGAGCCAATAAGCTCCCAAGCATTCACTATGTTATCATAATTGCATTTATATGGTGCTTGCTTAATTGCCTCGGCAATTCGGAGTTTTGTATCGTATCTCTTTTCAAACACTCTAAGAGCATCCCCAAGTAGCAGCTGCCCCTGTGTGGCACAAGGTGGTGGCCATGCACCGGCCTGCACGTGGACAAGAGCCTGTCAGTAGGGGGCGATGGTTGATGTGGCATCTCGGTTGTGGAGTTTGTAGGTAATGTTTAGAATTTTTTGATCAATTTTGACCCAGACGCCAGCATGCAATGGCCTACTCGTTTTGAATGGTGCATTAGTATGTTGTACATACACTGTTAAGCAGACGGTGCGTATTTTTTAAATTAGCTTGTTAATGCGATGTAACCTAATGCAGTATATTTCAGTGCAGTCATTAAATTTTGTTAATATGCCTGTCACGAATTTAGAATGAATACTTGTCTGATGGTGTGCGTACATGTAACCTTTTGTCTACAAGGGTCAAACTTTGAATGAGTCATGTTAGGACACAGTGTGTGTTTTGCAAGTAACCTGTACAGATAACTCAGGTGAGACTCATTGTTCTTGTGATACAGGTCAAAGGGTATTTTTGTGTTTTCAGGAAGCATCTCCCTCTGGAGCAACTCATTGTCTTTAAAATAGCGAGCACACTCGTATCATTCATCAGTTACAAGGCAAACCACTTAAAAGTTACACGTAGAGGAGATACATTCTCAACAACACGAATTATAATTTTGCATTACGTGTTGACGTAGATTTTGTCTAACTAGGACGAGAAATACTCCTTACTGATTAATGTCTGGATGTCCCTAACTATCGGTTGAAACAAGCCCGGCTGCTGTTGAGACGCTGTGCACCAATAAGGGTCCACATGTGGCTTGCACTGAATCAATGACGCGCTCCCAGAAGTCTGTGCTAGTTATAGTTTGTGTAAAACATTCATTTGTTTCGTGGAGAGATCGATAAATGAAAGATGTCGTGTCTGCTGATCTGCTTCATAGCAAGGAGGTCATTTTAAGAGCACATTTGGAATGCATTTTTGGTACAGATTTGTATTCGGTTACAAGGCAGAGCACATCTAGTAGATACATTCTCCACAACAACACTCATTAGAATTTTGCATGACGTCTTATATATGTTGGCGAACTAGGACAAGAAATGGTCCTTGCCGATTAATGTCTGGATGTTGACAACCATGGGGTTGAAGCAAGCCGGACCGCCTGCGGTGCCCCTCAACCGTTTACGGCCTTGGGCCAGGAAAGTCACGAAGAAAATTGTCCACGAACGACGCATCCACGCAAACACCCGATGCTCCGTTTTGAAGTTTTAAAATGAAACAACTTTGAATTGTATTATGTTTTTGAATTAGATAATTGTACTTAATTAAAAGCTTATATTTTACATCTGGAAGACTTCATTGAAAACGACATTTCGTGTGAATTTTCTCTAGTCGTGAAGTAGATGGCCTTGCCGGGGATTCGGTTCGATGCGGACTTTCACCTGGTTGGGATCGCGAGGTGGAGATGAGGCGACACAGAGCTGGCCGTGCCAGAAGACCGCCGTCTGCAGATCGATTCCAACGTGATCGAACGTCTGTCACTGTGCCTCCGTCGTTCATGCAGGGGGCGCGTAGGGTTACAGCGCCCCCTGCATGAAAACGACGGAAAGTGCAGCATTCATCACAGATAGATAAAGTTGTGCGCTTATATATAAGAGCATCGCCAGTGGGTTTTCAAAGTACCTTCGTCTTACAGAAATCAATTTCGCGTGAGCCCACCGCATTACAACAATGCTCAGCTGTAGCTCACGTGACTTCTGCCGCGACAATGTCTGGATGTTGTCGCCTGAGGACGACCGCTCGTGTTGCGATTGAAACTTCGTGATTTATTTATTATTTTATTTGTTCTACATATGTGACTTTACTGAAAGAACCAAAGAGTATGAAAGACGTCTTGTCTGCTGATCTTGTTCATGTCCGTGTACATCGATATCCCACATTGCTTACACTACACACCACACACAATGAAATTAATAGAAACGAGAACGACTTCTGGGGATGGGCAAAGATCGAGGAATCTCTTTCAATGGAGCGAGTTCAGTGAGTTCGATTCAACATCTCGCTGTCCGTCTGTGTCTGTTCGCCTCTATGTGTCTCTCTCTCTGCCTGTCTCTGTCTATGTCGTCTCTGTGTCTCTCTGCTCCTCTTGGCTGTGTCTGTCCGCCTGTCTTGTCTGTGTGTGTGTGTGTCTATCAGCGTCTTTCCCACCGGAGTCAACGACAGTCAGTAGCAGCAGGCGCCCGTTCAGCTCCCACGACTACACGCCACTCAAACTTGCTCCCAATACACAAAGACAAAGATCCCCAATACAGCCTTAACAGACTGTCGGGTCAAGTGCTGTTAGCGAGCACCTATGGACTAACACACACACACACATCGATGTACATACACACATCAACTGACACAGATAGACGCACACACAGTGACTCACATGAAGCCATGCACACACATGGACTAATATGCACACTTGGACTTACACACACATCGACGTACACACACAAACATCTGGCATTGCCTGGGCAAAAAAGACACAGATACTCCGACTTACACACACACATTTACCTAAACACACATATGGACTCAAATACACACACACATCGACTTACACAGCAATCCCCTGTGATGCCACAGCTAGAGCAATTTTCTCTCTCTGGCAAGCCTTTGCGAGGAGCAGTTTTAAAACAAAGGTCTTCCCAGTACTGGCAGGTGCATCAAGGATAAAAATGACTCGATTTGTAGTCTCAATGTCTTCCAAGATTTCCGTGTAGGCTTCTATTTGTGCATCCATCAGCTTTGGTTAATTTTCCTAAAGTTTTTAAGAATCTGTCAAGCATAATAGCATATTTCACGTAGTATCTCTTGAGCAAGAGCATGCAGGTTGTCCCTGTAGGGTGTTGGTGGTCCCATAGACGTGAAGTATTTCCCAGCAATGGAGTGCAGTTTGTCGTGAAGGAGGATGAGGGCCTGTTTGAAGATAACATCAGAAAAGTTGACGTCCAGGTTAGTATTTTGTTATTGAGCTCCGTGGAGGATGTCCTCTCTCATGCCCTCTTTGTATTTTTGCCAGAGTCCCATGGGGTTAGATGGGCTGCAAACTTGAAGAGTCATGCAGAAGAGCAATGTCAGTTGGAAAGGGGACTGACCAACAGAAGCTTCTGTCAAAGCTTTATGAATAAGGTGATCATGCGCAAGAATTGCACGAAGATTGCAAGCTTTCCTGTATGTTTGACAGACAACTCGTTCCACTGTTTATAGGTCTTGAAAAGATTTGTGCCCTTTGGCAACATGGAGAAGCATTGGGAGAAAGTAGCACTGCTGATTGTTGGGATGAACTGTGTAGACTCGTCCTAAGGCATCCGATTCACCGTCAGCAGCACTTCGCTTCCATGTTTTTAGCAGTCCGTGTATAGTCGGAGGGAACTTAATGGTAGAGCAGGTTGGCAGCAAATGTGTCACTTGGGCACAAAACCAAGAACGCCATCAGGTATCTTGTGGAGCCAGGGCCTGTTGTGGGGCATTTCCTTTGGTGACGTAGATGCGTTGACCATTTTGGAGGTGAAGTGCCAAATGGACGACTGTGGGGGGACGGTGATGGATGGGGAAGCCAAGAATTCAGCAAATGGCCTCATTGTTGCCGATGTATTTTGCTTGGAAAAAAAGTTTTGGGTCATGCACACTTTGCCCGTCTGTTTTGTAAGGCAAAGACATCCATGTCAGAGCCTTTTTACTTTTTTACGTAATATATAGGATACTAAGGCTAAGCACACCCGAGGATTGCACTTTTGTTGAAAAATGAAACTGTAAAAATTTGGCCATTATTGGCCAAAAACGGCACAGGTTAGTATGCCGATTTTCTGTTTGGGACGTGAACATTTCATCGTGAAATTTTCCACTTTTAATCTAATACATGGCATACTAAGGGTAAATACAATAGAGGAATTAACTTTCGTCCAAAAATAAAGCTGTGAAAGTTGAGCTTATTGAGCCTAAAATCGGCACAGTATGCCGATTAACTTTTTATATTCGAAAATTTAATGCATGAAATTCCCCACTTCTTAAAGTTATAGGCTACTCAGGCTAAACACAACCAAGGAATCCACTTTGTGTTTAAAAATAAAAAAAATTGGGCCAATTTTGCCAAAAACGGCCTAGGTTAATTATGCTGATTGTTTATGGACGTGACAATTTCATCGTGAAATGTCGCCAGCGGTGTGCTGGAGAGCCAAGCCACGACATCTACAAAGTGCTGCTCATAGCGAGCAGCACCGATCGATGGAGGTCGTCACGGCACACACGAGGGGGTGGGTGGCCAGCACCACGCCCGGCCGCCTTTGTCTCCCTAGTGGCGATGTTGACACACCGCACCGGGTACTCGTTTGAGGCTGAGTCGACGTAGGGGAGGCTCAGCACCGGCTCAGAAAGTCGTCACTGGCGGTGTTGGCCACGAGCGGGAATGGAACTCGGCTGGTCGGTGCGGAGCGCAGCGCTCATCACGTCACTGCCGCTCCTCTGCTGTCAACAAACTTGAACTCTGACCCCGCCCTCTGACGTCACCGCTCAGCGTGACCTCATCGGCGTCAAACGCCAGGGAAGGTGTGCCCCGCAAGTGACGTCATGTCACCTGCTGCCGCGTGACGTCGCGAGGGACCAGGAAGTTGCCGCTCCGCCCGTGAACTGCAATCCGAGGTGAGAAATTATCATCGCGGTTGTGGTGGTTGTTGTGGTGGTGGTGGTTGTTGTTGTGATGGTGGTGGTTGTTGTGGTGGTGGTGGTGGTTGTGATGGTGGTTGTGATGGTGGTGGTTGTGGTGGTGGTGGTTGTGGTGGTGGTTGTCGTGGTGGTTGTGGTGGTGGTGGTTGTGGTGGTGGTGGTTGTGGTGGTGGCGGTGGTTGTGGTGGTGGTTGTTGTTGTGATGGTGGTTGTTGTGGTGGTGGTGGTTGTGATGGTGGTTGTGATGGTGGTGGTGGTTGTGGTGGTGGTGGTTGTTGTTGTGATGGTGGTGGTTGTTGTGGTGGTGGTGGTGGTTGTGATGGTGGTTGTGATGGTGGTGGTGGTTGTGGTGGTGGTGGTTGTGGTGGTGGTTGTCGTGGTGGTTGTGGTGGTGGTTGTGGTGGTGGTGGTTGTGGTGGTGGCGGTGGTTGTGGTGGTGGTTGTTGTTGTGATGGTGGTTGTTGTGGTGGTGGTGGTTGTGATGGTGGTTGTGATGGTGGTGGTGGTTGTGGTGGTGGTTGTGGTGGTGGTGGTTGTGGTTGTGGTGGTGGTTGTCGTGGTGGTTGTGGTGGTTGTGGTGGTGGTGGTTGTGGTGGTGGCGGTGGTTGTGGTGGTGGTGGTTGTTGTTGTGATGGTGGTTGTTGTGGTGGTGGTGGTTGTGATGGTGGTTGTGATGGTGGTGGTGGTTGTGGTGGTGGTTGTGGTGGTGGTTGTGGTGGTGGCGGTGGTTGTGGTGGTGGCGGTGGTTGTTGTGGTGGTTGTGGTGGTGGTTGTAGTTGTGGTGGTGGTGGTTGTGGTGGTAGTTGTGGTGGTGGTTGTGGTGGTGGTAGTTGTGGTGGTGGTTGTTGTGGTGGTGGTGGTGGTTGTGGTGGTGGTTGTTGTGGTGGTGGTGGTGGTTGTGGTGGTGGTGGTGGTTGTGGTGGTGGTGGTGGTTGTGGTGGTGGCGGTGGTTGTTGTGGTGGTTGTGGTGGTAGTGGTTGTGGTGGTGGTGGTTGTTGTTGTGGTGGTTGTTGTGGTGGTGGTTGTGGTGGTGGTGGTTGTGGTGGTGGCGGTGGTTGTGGTGGTGGTTTTTGTTGTGATGGTGGTTGTTGTGGTGGTGGTGGTTGTGATGGTGGTTGTGATGGTGGTGGTGGTTGTGGTGGTGGTTGTGGTGGTGGTGGTTGTTCTTGTGATGGTGGTGGTTGTTGTGGTGGTGGTGGTGGTTGTGATGGTGGTTGTGATGGTGGTGGTGGTTGTGGTGGTGGTGGTTGTGGTGGTGGTGGTTGTGGTGGTGGTTGTCGTGGTGGTTGTGGTGGTGGTTGTGGTGGTGGTGGTTGTGGTGGTGGCGGTGGTTGTGGTGGTGGTTGTTGTTGTGATGGTGGTTGTTGTGGTGGTGGTGGTTGTGATGGTGGTTGTGATGGTGGTGGTGGTTGTGGTGGTGGTTGTGGTGGTGGTGGTTGTGGTGGTGGTTGTGGTGGTGGTTGTGGTGGTGGTTGTCGTGGTGGTTGTGGTGGTGGTGGTTGTGGTGGTTGTGGTGGTGGTGGTTGTGGTGGTGGCGGTGGTTGTGGTGGTGGTGGTTGTTGTTGTGATGGTGGTTGTTGTGGTGGTGGTGGTGGTTGTGATGGTGGTTGTGATGGTGGTGGTGGTTGTGGTGGTGGTTGTGGTGGTGGTTGTGGTGGTGGCGGTGGTTGTGGTGGTGGCGGTGGTTGTTGTGGTGGTTGTGGTGGTGGTTGTAGTTGTGGTGGTGGTGGTTGTGGTGGTAGTTGTGGTGGTGGTTGTGGTGGTGGTAGTTGTGGTGGTGGTTGTTGTGGTGGTGGTGGTTGTGGTGGTGGTGGTGGTTGTGGTGGTGGTTGTGGTGGTGGCGGTGGTTGTTGTGGTGGTTGTGGTTGTGGTGGTGGTGGTTGTTGTTGTGGTGGTTGTTGTGGTGGTGGTTGTGGTGGTGGTGGTAGTTGTGGTGGTAGTGGTGGTAGTTGTGGTGGTGGTTGTGGTGGTGGTAGTTGTGGTGGTGGTGGTAGTTGTGGTGGTGGTGGTAGTTGTGGTGGTGGTGGTGGTAGTTGTGGTGGTGGTGGTTGTGGTGGTTGGTGGTGGTGGTTGTGGTGGTGGTGGTGGTTGGTGGTGGTTGTGGTGGTGGTAGTAGTGGTGGTGGTGGTAGTTGTGGTGGTGGTGGTTGTGGTGGTTGTGGTGGTGGTGGTTGTGGTGGTGGTTGTGGTGGTGGTGGTTGTGGTGGTTGTGGTGGTGGTTGTGGCGGTGGTGGTTGTGGCTGTGGTGGTTGGTGGTGGTTGTGGCTGTGGTGGTTGGTGGTGGTTGTGGTGGTTGGTGGTTGTGGTGGTTGTGGTGGTGGTTGTGTTGGTTGTGGTGGTGGTGGTTGTGGTGGTGGTGGTGGTTGTGTTGGTTGTGGTGGTGGTTGTTGTGGTTGTTGTTGTTGTGGTGGTTGTTGTTGTTGCTTACCGAGGTAGAGCCTCGCTCTCTCTCTCGTAGGGATGTCAATTGAGTAGCAGCGAGCATGGAAGCGATGTCCACGTTGGAACTTTACAACGCGGGGCCTTGCCTCCTGCCCTCGCCTGATGGCGTTCGCTTCAATTCTCTCGCTTAAATTTCGATTTAAAGCTTTCGTGACTGCAGGGATTCATCTTCTTGGTTTTTTCGGTAAAGTCACGTCTGAATGAAACACCCCAGGGTCTTCCCGACAGACCTGGTCTTCACCTGAGGACGGCTGCTTGCGTTGTGGCCGAAACGTCGTGAGAATTGTATTTTATTATGTTTTATTTTTATTATTTCCCTTCTACGTGACTTTACCGAAATAACCAAGAAGATTATCTCGCTTAGTTTTGCAATCTGTGGAAGAAGGTAATCAGCCAGACGATGCGTTAGTTGTGTGTTGACCGACTCTCTGTGTTGTATTGCATTTCAAATTTGATTAAGTTTGTTTGATTAAGTGTCTCTCTCTCTCTCTGTGCAGTCACCAAACCTCCAAATCTCTCATTGACACAAGGCCGTAATTATAATATGTTATAATAATGTCATAATAATTATATGTTATAATAATTATAATAATCAATTATGCCCCTCCAATATGTTGCTGTAAAAATATTTGTAAATAATAATTGCGATGCTCTGTTAATAAAAACAACAATTTGCTAAACCTTGGCCACGAAATCTGGACTTGTTTTCATATAACAATACATAGATTTCTGTTTACATGATTGCGTTGTACTTTGTTAATTCCTAATCTCTGCCATTACATACTATAAAACAAGAAAATGTAAAAAAGAAAAAACAGCAATGTAATACAATACACTATTAGACATTATTGTATCAAATAAAACAAAGTCCATCCCATGTGCTAGTGAACTTTTACAAATATTTTAGGGAGGAAATGGCAGGAAATTAGTTTTCAAATTTAGATATTTTTCTGGGGGGGGGGACCCCAGACCCCCTGGAAGAATTGGTCCCCCCCAATGTTGACTCCATGGCTACGGCCTTGCATTGACGTGCTAGTTTCTCTACCCCCCCCCTCTCTCTACCCCCCTCTCTCTCTAAGGCCTCGACACAGAGGCGTTGTTTCTCTGTGTGCCTATGTGTGTGTCTCTCTCTGTGTCATATCTCTTTGTGTGTCTATGTGTGTGTCTCTCTCTGTGTGTCTTTGTGTCATCTCTCTCTGCTTATGTGTCTGTCTATGTGTCTCTGTGTCTCTCTCTCAAATTGAGCAATCTTTGGAAGAACGTTTTTAACCAGGTGGGGTGTTGACTGTTATGTTAGCCGACTGTTGTATTTCATTACATTTCTAAGTTTACTAGGTTTTTTTTCTCTTTCATTTGTGCCTGATGATGATTGCTTGTGTTGCAATTGAAACGTCGTATGCTATTATTTAATTTCTTTATTTATTCTACGTGACTTTACCGAAAGAACCAAAGAGTATCTTGCTTAAGTTTTAATTTCTCTTCACCTGGCTCGCTACTTTGTAACTTTGTTTTATTTTAAATATTCACAGTTTTTTTTCATTTTTTACCAGGCCACGCCCACTTGAGCTGCAATACCGCTCTTGTTTTCGGAAGCGACCTGCCCACAACAACAATAACAACAAGGTGAGGCTTGTCAACAGCGTGGTGGTGTTCACTCTAGATGCGTGGCGGTGTTCGCTCTAGACACGTGGTGGTGTTCACTCTAGACGCGTGGCGGTGGTCACTCTGGACGTGTGGCTGTGTTCACTCTAGACACGTGGTGGTGTTCACTCTAGACGCGTGGCGGTGGTCACTCTAGACGCGTGGCGGTGTTCACTCTAGACACGTGGCGGTGTTCACTCTAGACGCGTGGTGGTGTTCACTCTAGACGCGTGGCGGTGTTCGCTCGAGACGCGTGGCGGTGTTCACTCTAGACACGTGGCGGTGTTCACTCTAGACACGTGGTGGTGTTCACTCTAGACGCGTGGCGGTGTTCACTCTAGACACGTGGCGGTGTTCACTCTGGACGCGTGGCGGTGTTCACTCTAGACACGTGGTGGTGTTCACTCTAGACACGTGGTGGTGTTCACTCTAGACACGTGGTGGTGTTCACTCTAGACACGTGGCGGTGTTCACTCTAGACGCGTGGCGGTGTTCACTCTAGACACGTGGCGGTGTTCACTATAGACACGTGGCGGTGTTCACTCTAGACGCGTGGCGGTGTTCACTCTAGACACGTGGCGGTGTTCACTTTAGACACGTGGTGGTGTTCACTCTAGACGCTTGGCGGTGTTCACTCTAGACGCGTGGCGGTGTTCACTCTAGACACGTGGCGGTGTTCACTCTAGACACGTGGTGGTGTTCACTCTGGACGTGTGGCGGTGTTCACTCTAGACGCGTGACGGTGTTCACTCTAGACGTGTGGCGGTGTTCACTTTAGACACGTGGTGGTGTTCACTCTAGACGCGTGACGGTGTTCACTCTAGACGCGTGGCGGTGTTCACTCTAGACATGTGGAGGGGAAACCCGGGGATCGGGAAGGAAATCAACGCGACCACGGGGAGAGAGAGAGAGAGAGACACGCAGCCTCGGCTGTGTTGGTTGATCCTCAATGAATTACTTGGTGGAGTGAGGAAGCATTAATACTGAGCAGGTAAAGGTGGCCAGGCGTGGGTCTGGACACACCACCACCTGTGAACCGTGCCAGTGTGTGACAGTGCTTCAGCCAGTGGGGGTGGGGTGGCATGTGCCCCCCCAACGATCATTGGGGTTTATTAGTAACTAGCTTCACTACCCGGGACTTGGATTCTTGTCTTGGATTAAAACACGGCCTACGTGAAGTGTTTGGGGGGGGGGTGATGTCAGCAAGTATGGATTGTGTACAGTCTGGAAGCTATCCACATGCCATTTTTTAAGTTTGTTGCATGTCGGGAAGTATGCTAAACATTTATAACAGACACATTCACAAATTTCCCTTTTTTTACGACCCCCACCGCCACCGTGTGGCATGTTATTACGTGCCAGGGACTCTAAGAGGACAACAGTCCATGTCCATAATTGGCAACAAGTAACGGCAAAGCAGTTACAAGCGACTAGCAAAATTGTGCGCAGTTGCGTATACAGTACACGACTTCCCTGAAGACACCTTCAGTGAGCGCGATGCCAATCACACGCGTCGAATAAAAAGCAAGGGACAAGTCCTTAGTTACTAACAACTCCTTACTAACAACTATCATTTTTCATTGCTGGAGGTGTTACCCCCCCCCCCCCCACCTGAAAATCCTGACTCCGCCTCTGAATATGCGACAGTATGAAGTTTGTATTTGCAGTAAAGTCTATTAACTCTATTGAGCACGGATGTTATATCAAAACACTAGTTTATTTTTTTTTCCTCTGGAAGTCTTTGTAAGGTTAGAGTCTGGATTTTATCACAGCACACACGTGCAGCTAAAGTCGGAACTGCTCATCCCAGCAATCAAGGACATCTGTGCCTGGCTTCACACCTCTAAGTTGTGATTGAACATTAATTTATGCATTTGTGCATGACACAAATAGTATTATTTTAAACACCCATTGCTATGTCAGCTGAATTTAGCTTTCATAAACATTTATTTTGAAGCCAGACAGCTGAAATTGTGTGCTCTGAGTTTTGGGTTAATGTTCATTTTGAAGATACGAGGGCTTCCAGGCACGGTTATAACCATTTTCCCTCTCATTGTGTGCCATAACAGCCCGTGTGATGAATTTGGGACACTTTTTCACTATATCATGAATATATGAATAAGTATAGACGTGTAAGTCACGTGTGACTGTGTATATGCATTCCTCTGTGCATCGATACTGACGTGTAGATGGTGTGGATATTCTCTTTTTTCTGTCTGCAGCTGTCGCTGCCTCTGCAGAATTGGTCTGATGGAGCAAAGGCACTCTGCGCAGCTCGGTGCAATAAGGCATCAATGCGACCGGTGTGCATACAGCACGGATGGTCCTGCACATTTGACACGGCACCAGAGAACTCACACAAGAGAGAAACCCTTCAAGTGCAGTGTGTGTGGGAAGGCGTTTTCAGATTTATCTACTCTTGTAAAACACAAGAGAACACACACGGGAGAGAAACCCTTCAAGTGCAGTGTGTGTGGGAAGGCATTTTCACAGTCATCTACTCTTGTAGCACACCAGAGAACACACACGGGAGAGAAACCCTTCAAGTGCAGTGTGTGTGGGAAGGCGTTTGCATGTTCATCTACTCTTGGAGCACACCAGAGAACACACACGGGAGAGAAACCCTTCAAGTGCAGTGTGTGTGGGAAGGCGTTTGCACGTTCAGCTCATCTTGTAAAACACCAGAGAACACACACGGGAGAAAAACCCTTCAAGTGCAGTTTGTGTGGGAAGGCGTTTGCACTTTCACCAAATCTTCAAAGACACCAGAGATCACGCAAGCATCAGAAGATCCACAAGGAGTGGAGTCTGAAATCAGCTTGTGAAAGTCAAAGTGCCTCAATGAGCCCATCCATCATCAAACAAGAACCGGAAGAAAATCTCAGCTTGGACACTTTCAAAGAAATCAAGGTGAAATATGAAGAGGTGAAGGTGAAATGTGAAGATGAAGATTCAATTCCAAAATGGGACCTTCACATCGATGGAGACAACGTGAAGCAGGAGGAGAATTCTGACTGAGGCAGAGCGAGGCAACTCCCAGCAGTTTGTGGAAGTGGAGGTGTGGGTGGACTTCCTCCGAGACAATACAAAGTCAAATGGAGACCCGGGAGATGCGTAAGCCTTAGACCAGTGGTTCTTAACCTGGGTTCGGTCGAACCCCAGGGGTTCGGTGAGTCAGTCTCAGGGGTTCAGCGGACGTTAAGACACACAGCTGACTCATGATTGTGCACCAGTAAAACATGTTTTGAATTTGAAAAAATAATTTTCATTTTTCCAATTAAGAAGGGTTCTGTGAATGCGCATATGAAACTGATGGGGTTCAGTACCTCCAACAAGGTTAAGAACCACTGCCTTAGACGATGCCACTCCAATAGATGCACCTTTGTCACAGGCCTTTAATGACAAGAATGTGAAGTTGAACACTCAGTTCCTAGGTTCAACCTGCAGGGTAAGAGCGGCCAGTCTTTGTGGACCTGTGTGTTGGGTAGATCTCTAACCAGGAGCGAGAGCCAATAAGCTCCCAAGCATTCACTATGTTATCATAATTGCATTTATATGGTGCTTGCTTAATCGCCTCGGCAATTCGTAGTTTTGTATCGTTTCTCGTCTCAAACACTCCAAGAGCATCCCCAGTAGCAGCTGCCCCTGTGTGGCACAAGGTGGTGGCCCTGCACCGGCCTGCATGTGGACAAGAGCCTGTCAGTAGGGGGCGATGGTTGATGTGGCACCTCAGTTGTGGAGTTTGTAGGTAATGTTTAGAATTTGCTCAATTTTGACCCAGATGCCAGCATGCAATGGCCTACTCGTTTTGAATGGTGCATTAGTATGTTGTACATACACTATTAAGCAGACGGTGCGTATTTTTTTAAAATTAGCTTCTTGTTAATGCAATGTAACCGAATGCAGTATATTTCAGTGCAGTCATTCAATTTTGTTAATATGCCTGTCACTAATTTAGAATGAATACTTGTCTGATGGTGTGCGTACATGTAACCTTCTGTCTATAAGGGTCAAATATTGAATAAGTCATGTTAGGACACAGTGTGTGTTTTGCAAGTAACCTGTACAGATAACTCAAGTGAGACTCCTTGTTCTTGTGATACAGGTCAAAGGGTATTTTTGTGTTTTCAGGAAGCATCTCCCTCTGGATCAACTTATTGTCTTTGAAATAGGGAGCACATTTGGATCGTTCATCTGTTACAAGGCATACCACTCAAAAGTTACAGGTAGAGGAGATACATTCTCTACAACACGAATTATAATTTTGCATTACGTGTTGACGTAGATTTTGTCTAACTCGGACTAGAAATGCTCCTTGCTGATTAACGTCTGGATGTCAGTAACTATCGGTTGAAGCAACCCCGGCTGCTGTTGAGACGCTGTCCACCAATAAGGGTCCACAGGTGGCTTGCACTGAATCAATGACGCACTCCCAGAAGTCTGTGCTAGTTATAGTTTGTGTAAAACATTCCTTTGTTTCGTGGAGAGATCGATAAATGAAAGATGTCATGTCTGTTGATCTGCTTCATAGCAAGGAGGTAATTTTAAGAGCATATTTGAAATGCATTTTTGGTACAGATTTGTATTCGGTTACAAGGCAGAGCACATCTGGTAGATACATTCTCCACAACAACACTCATTAGAATTTTGCATGACGTCTTATATGTTGGCGAACTAGGACAAGAAATGGTCCTTGCCGATTAACGTCTGGATGTTGACAACCATGGGTTGAAGCAAGCCTGACCGTCTGCGATGCCCCTCACAACCATTTACGGCCTTGGGCCAGGAAAGTCACGAAACAAATTGTGCACGAACGACGCATCCACGCAAGCACCCGATGCTCCGTTTTGAAGTTTGAAAATGAAACAACTTTGAATTGTATTATGTTTTGAATTAGATAATTGTATTTCTTCATTAAAAGCTTGTTATTTTACATCTGGAAGACTTAATTGAAAACATTTAGTGTGAATTATCTCATCTTGAAGTAGATTGCCTTGCCTGGGATTCTGTTCGATGCGGACTTTCACCTGGTTGGGAGAAGACCGCCGTCTGCAGATCGATTCCAACGCGATCGAACGTCTGTCCCTGCACCTCCGTCGTTCATGCAGGGGGCGCGTAGGTTTGCAGCGCCCCCTGCATGAAAGCGATGGAAAGTGCAGCGTTCGTCACAGATAAATGAAGTCGTGCGCTTATATATTTACATATAAATTGTACACCAAAATCGGTCCACAGTTGACTTGCACTGAATGCTGCAGTAATTATTATATTTTGTGTAAAATATTCCTTTGTTTCGCGGAGAGACTGATAAATGAAAGTCGTCTTGTCTGCTGATCTTGTTCATATCTGTGTACATCGATATCCCATATTGCTTACACTACACACCACACAGGGAAATAAATAGAAACTAGAACGACTTCCGGGGATGGGCAAAGATCGAGGAATCTCTTTCAATGGAGCGAGTTCAGTGTGTTCTATTCAACATCTGTCCGTCTGTCTCTCTGTTTGCCTCTGTGTGTCTCTCTGCCTGTGTCTCTCTGTCTATGTCGTCTCTGCGTATCTTTCTCTGTCTCTGTGTTCCTCTTGTCTGTGTCTGTCCGTCTGTCTTGTCTGTCTGTGTGTCTATCAGCGTCTGTCCCACCGGAGTCAACGACAGTCAGTAGCAGCAGGCGCCCGTTCAACTCCCACGACTACACGCGACTCAAACTTGCTCCCAACACAAAGATCCCCCGTATAGCCTTAACAGACTGTAGGGGCAAGTGCTGTTAGCGAGCACCTATTAAGGGTGGGACAGCACACGAGGGGGTGGGTGGCCAGCACCACGCCCGGCCGCCTTTGTCTCCCCAGTGCTAGCGATGTTGACACACCGCACCGGGGACTGGTTTGAGGCTGAGTCGACGTAGGGGAGGCTCAGGACCGGCTCAGAAAGTCGTCACTGGCGGTGTTGGCCACGAGCGGGAATGGAACTCGGCTGGTCGGTGCGGAGCGCAGCGCTCACCACGACACTGCCGCTCCCCTTCTGTCAACAAACTTGAACTCTGACCCCGCTCTCTGACGTCGCCGCTCAGCGTGACCTCATCAGCGTCAAACCCCACGGGGAGGTGTGCCTCGCTAGTGACGTCATGTCACCAAGGTATTCACCCCACCCAACTCACGCGCTCTTGAGCGTGACGTCACCTCCGCTCGGCCGCTGCCGATGTCTGTTCCAGTGCCAATCCTTATTTGGGCAAAGCCACGCCCGGTGACTGGCGGCTCATTAACATAATGTGTTCGCGAAAGCCGTCGCGGGTTTATTGTGACGGGTTCCGCATCCACGGCCCATCCCTCCATGTTTTGGCCGGGTTCATTAACATAATTTATTTAAGTAACAGCCGCTCATTGTGGGAGGGGAGTTTTATTGTACACCGCAAGTGACGTCATGTCACCTGCCTCGTGACGTCACGATGTAACAGGAAGTTGCCGCTCCGCGCTCGCATTGAAATCCGAGGTGAGAAATTCTCATCGCGGTTGTTGTGGTGGTTGTTGTTGTGGTGGTGGTTGTTGTGGTGGTTGTGGTTGTTTACCGAGGTAGAGCCTCGCTCTCTCTCTCGTAGGGATGTCAATTGAGTAGCAGCGAGCATGGAAGCGATCTCCACGTTGTAACTACAACGCGGGGCCTAGTGCCTCCTGCCCTCGCCTGATCGCGTTTGCTTCAATTCTCTCGCTTAAGTTTAATTTGTCTGCACACGGATCGCCACTTTGTAACTTTGTTTAAATATTCTATACTAACACAGTTTTTTTTCTTTTTTTTACCAGGCCAATTCCGCTTGAGCTGCTATACCGCTCTTGTTTTCAGAAGCGACCTGCCAACAACAAGGTGAGGCTTGTCAACAGCGTGGTAGTGTTCACTCTAGACACGTGGCGGTGTTCACTCTAGACGTGTGGTGGTATTCACTCTAGACACGTGGTGGTGTTCACTCTAGACACGTGGCGGTGTTCACTCTAGACGTGTGGTGGTATTCACTCTAGACACGTGGCGGTGTTCACTCTAGACGCGTGGCGGTGTTCACTCTAGACGCGTGGCGGTGTTCACTCTAGACGTGTGGCGGTGTTCACTCTAGACGTGTGGCGGTGTTCACTCTAGACACGTGGCGGTGTTCACTCTAGACGTGTGGTGGTGTTCACTCTAGACACGTGGTGGTGTTCACTCTAGACGCGTGGCGGTGTTCACTCTAGACACTTGGTGGTGTTCACTCTAGACACGTGGCGGTGTTCACTCTAGACACGTGGTGGTGTTCACTCTAGACGCGTGGCGGTGTTCACTCTAGACGCGTGGCGGTGTTCACTCTAGACGTGTGGTGGTGTTCACTCTAGACACGTGGTGGTGTTCACTCTAGACGCGTGGCGGTGTTCACTCTAGACGCGTGGCGGTGTTCACTCTAGACACGTGGCGGTGTTCACTCTAGACGCGTGGTGGTGTTCACTCTAGACACGTGGCGGTGTTCACTCTAGACACGTAGCGGTGTTCACTCTAGACACGTAGCGGTGTTCACTCTAGACACGTAGCGGTGTTCACTCTAGACGCGTGGCGGTGTTCACTCTGGACGCGTGGCGGTGTTCACTCTCTGCATGTGGAGTGGGGACAACCGGGGGACACGGAGGGAAATCGACGCGACCACGGGGGGAGAGAGAGAGAGAGAGGCACGCAAACTCCAAATATACAGCAGGCGTCAGGGTTGGGATCGAACCCACGACTTCCTGTATGCCAGGAGAGGTAGTTAACATCTCACCACAGAGAAACACGCAGCCTCGGCTGTGTTGGTTGATCCTCAATGAATTCCTTGGTGGAGTGAGGAAGCATTAATACACCACCACCTGTGAACCATGCCAGTGTGTGACAGTGTAAAGGTTGTGTTTGCAGTAAAGTCTATTAACTCTATTGAACAGGGAGGTTATATCAAAGCTGTAGTTTGTTTTTTGTTTTCCTCTGGAGCTCTTTGTAAGAATGGAAACAGTCAAGAAGTTAACACAGCACACACATGCAGCTGAAGTCAGATCTGTTCATCCCAGCATTCAAGGACATCGTGAGCCTGGCTGGCTTCACACCTGTTGTATATGTTGGGCCTTGAAAAATTAATTAAAAAATAATACAAATTAATTGGAAATAGGAAAAATGTGTAATTATCTGAAATTATGCTAATTAGGGAGGTGATCTTATTAAGTTATGCAACTGTATGCAATTAAGCTAATGTATGTAGTTATGCTAATGTATGCAGTTATGATAATTATGCTTATCTTCGTTGCCTAGGGTCGTATTATCACTCGGGATAATACAATTAGTCTCGTTTTAACATTTACTGATTGTGTCTTCGTGTTTTATGTCAGGTCTCCAAATTCAAATCTCACCGCAGGATACAGTTCTCATAATTGAGATTATTACGCATGAACTTAGGAAACCACCACTCGGACTCTTTTGTGTTAAGCAATTTTAATTTCTAACCAAAAACATAACACTCTAATATTCGAACTCTTATGCTTGGAATTGTCAACACTGTACCCCTGGAGATGTTCTCATTGATCCGTACATTTAACCCTCAATGATTACGTTGTTAACTGGGTAACAGAACATTCGATTAATTCCTCAGAGTAACGCGAGCATATACGGCGATAGGAAGACGTCCTTAAACATGCATGCGACGATATTCATACGAACGGCAATAAAGAAACATTCCCTGAAAGCAAAAGTATACGTCAATTAATTCATTGGCAAGATTATGCAATCAACGAAAAGGAATGACTAAAATACTTCTGAACGACCGTATCCACGTAACTCAATGGGCAGTAAATGCTTTTTATCTTATTCGTCCCGATATGCGTGTTGTGTGCGTGTGTCTTCTTTGCCACTTGTTGACTTGGCGGATTACGCGGTACGGCGTTCCTTGTGCTGAAAATACCTCGGATTCCCAGCAGGGCCGCTGGGACGGCGTATGTGTGTGTGTAGCTGTGTGTACGTGTGTGTGTAGCTGTGTGTACGTGTGTGTGTGTGTAGCTATGTGTACGTGTGTGTGTGTGTGTAGCTGTGTGTACGTGTGTACGTGTGTGTGTGTACGTGTGTGTGCATGTGTGTGTAGCTGTGTGTGTGTGTATTAAACACACGGAACTCTTCCTCTTGGCGTTGCAGCTCTCTCCACTGCTGGTTGAGTTGGCGCGATGCTCGCCGTCGGCGGTGCGCGATGATTCCGTCGTCAGATAGCGCGCACAGCTTGTCTGCTGGTCGCCGCTCCTTACTCTTGCCTTGGTTCCCAGCTGGTACTGGTCAGTGTGTGTGTGGGTCGAACCCACGGCGCTCTCGCTGGCGCTGACACTCTTGCTCACGGGCGGCTGGTCAGGCTCTTTCCACTGCTCCGTGCTCTCTCCTTGATCGTGCAGCTGCCAGCTTCACACGGACACCCGCCCTTCAGGGCTTGCGCTGGCTCAGGCTCTTTCCACTGCTCCGTTCTCTCTCCTTTCTCTCTCCTTGCTTTCGCCCTTGGCGTGCAGCTGCCAGTTTTGTACTGGCATTGTGTTGCCTCTCTCGCCCTCACTTCGGGGCTTCGCCTTGTCGTTGCTCAACTTTCGTGCTCTCCACCTTCTTCCAAGAGGGCTGCTGCTGTGAGCTGCTCGTCGCTGGCTGGATCACTGACTCTCAAAACTTGTAAATTGTATTAGCACACCTCTTACACAACTCTGATAGCTTGGTACAATACAACTTATCGCAAACCCTCGATTCCACAAGCGACTCAAAACATCAGGATGAATGTAGAATAAACTTTCAGCGATACTCTGTCAGTTCATGCCGAACTCGGCTCTTAACAACACATCGTCCCTTCGCTCCACGAGACACGACACCCATGGTTGATCTCGAGACCATGCCCCGGAGTTTGCCCCTTTGCACGACTGAATTGCATGATCTGTGTCGTTGGTTATATCTGAAATTCCCTCCCCTCTCTGTGCGTCTCTTGCGAGAGAAAAAAAACAGATGCCCTCTGTCACCGTCCTCTCTCCGCGGCCGCGCCTGAATGCCCTCCACCCCTCTTCCCTTGATGACCCCGGACGGGCTGTTTTCCGTCTAAGTTTATGCTTGTTGGCATCCCCCCCACCCCCCCTTCGTTGTGTTTGTTAGCTCGAGGCCAGACACCCTTCATACGTAATTGTGGCTGCCATGTGTTTGTGTCAAATTGTTGGAAGACAAAGGTGGCCGGGGAGGCTTTGATTCCATGGAATACATATTATCTGGTCTTGTGTGTGTTGGACCTATTTCTTGTACCTCTTATGAGTTACCCCGGGTCTAATATCTCGTGGTTATTATTTGGTTCATGTTTAACCAAGATTCGTAATGCCCCTCGTTGTTACCATTATTCCGAGGGTTTTGCCAAGCTTTGTAAGTCTGTGTCACTAGGGATCGGTGTTTTATTTTGAGTTATATTTTGATATCCCGAGGCTGGAGATATAACCAAGCCCTCACTTGCTTATCTACCAGAATGCACATTCCTTGGTTCTCTTGGTGAAGTTACATGGATAGAAAGATACAATACAAAATATATACGAGTTGAATAACGGTGAAATAAAATAAATAATAATAAAGCCGCTCGTATAGACTGCAGTCTATAACGTCGATTTGTTCTTTTTGACGAGTTTCAAACTTTTACCGTTAAAGAAAATTCGAGTTGTAACGTCCGTTTGTCTCTGCTATGTGCTCTGGAGATTTGTTTGTGAACTGTCCAAAACGTCCGGGGAGGTCATGTCATGTGGTCATCTGCCAGCCTGGAGATTTCCAGATAGTCGCTAACCCCTCTTTGCCCCGAAGTTTGTTGTTTAATGTTTTTTTTGACCTCCAGATGCTTGGTGTGGCTAGAGGGGTAGCAGAGTTGAGTGTTGGTTTCATTTATTTATTATTTAGGGATAAAAAAATGGGTCGAATTATTCTTAATATAAATTTTTGGAAAAGGTCTATATATACAACACACCTCTAAGTTGCGATTGAACATGAATTTATGCATTTCTGCATAACACAAATAGTATTATTTTCAACACCTTTTGCTATGTCAACTGAATTTAGCTTTCATAAATATTCCTTTTGTAGCCAGACAGCCGAAATTTGTGACCATTTACCCTCTCATTGTGTGCCATAACAGCCCATGTGATGAATTTGGGACACGTTTTTTACTATATCATAAATATATGAATAAGTATAGACATGTAAGTCACGTGTGACTGTGTATATGCATTCCGCTGTGCCTCGATACTGACGTGTAGATGGTGTGGATATTCTTTTTTTCTGTCTGCAGCTGTTGCTTCCTCTGCAGAATTGGTCTTATGGAGCAAAGGCACTCGGCGCAGCTCGGTGCAAAAAGGCATCAATGCGACCGGTGTGCATACAGCACGGATCGTCCTGGACATTTGACACAGCACCAGAGAACACACACAGGAGAGAAACCCTTCAGGTGCAGTGTGTGTGGGAAGGCGTTTGCACGTTCATCTCCTCTTGTAGCACACCAGAGAACACACACAGGAGAAAAACCCTTCAAGTGCAGTGTGTGTGGGAAGGCGTTTGCACGTTCATCGACTCTTAAAAAACACCAGAGAACACACACGGGAGAGAAACCCTTCAAGTGCAGTGTGTGTGGGAAGGCGTTTGCACATTCATCGACTCTTAGAAAACACCAGGGAACACACACGGGAGAGAAACCCTTCAAGTGCAGTGTGTGTGGGAAGGCGTTTGCACATTCATCAACTCTTAAAAAACACCAGAGAACACACACGGGAGAGAAACCCTTCAAGTGCAGTGTGTGTGGGAAGGCGTTTTCACAGTCACCTGCTCTTGTAGAACACCAGAGAACACACACGGGAGAGAAACCCTTCAAGTGCAGTGTGTGTGGGAAGGCATTTTCAGTTTCATCAAATCTTCATGTACACCAGAGAACACACACGGGAGAGAAAGCCTTCAAGTGCAGTGTGTGTGGGAAGGCGTTTCCACATTCATCTGATCTTGTAACACACCAGAGAACACACACAGGAGAGAAACCCTTCAAGTGCAGTGTGTGTGGGAAGGCATTTTCAGTTTCATCAAATCTTCATGTACACCAGAGAACACACACGGGAGAGAAAGCCTTCAAGTGCAGTGTGTGTGGGAAGGCGTTTGCACGTTCATCTACTCTTAAAATACACCAGAGATCACACACGGGAGAGAAACCCTTCAAGTGCAGTGTGTGTGGGAAGGCTTTTGCACAGTCATCTACTCTTGTAGAACACCAGAGAACACACACAGGAGAGAAACCCTTTAAGTGCAGTGTGTGTGGGAAGGTGTTTGCACAGTCACCACATCTTCAAGTACACCAGAGAACACACACGGGAGAGAAAGCCTTCAAGTGCAGTGTGTGTGGGAAGGCGTTTGTACATTCATCTACTCTTGTAGAACACCAGAGAACACACACGGGAGACAAACCCTTCAAGTGCAGTGTGTGTAGGAAGGCGTTTGCACGTTCATCTGCTCTTGTAGAACACCAGAGAACACACACAGGAGAGAAACCCTTCAAGTGCAGTGTGTGTGGGAAGGCGTTTGCACTTTCATCTGCTCTTACAAAACACCAGAGAACACACACGGGAGAGAAACCCTTCAAGTGCAGTGTGTGTGGGAAAGCGTTTGCACTTTCATCAAATCTTCATGCACACCAGAGAACACACATGGGAGAAAAACCCTTCAAGTGCAGTGTGTGTGGGAAGGCGTTTACACAGTCATCTGCTCTTGAAAGACACCAGAGAACACAGAAGCATCAAAAGATCCACAAGGAGTGGAGTCTGAAATCAGCTTGTGAAAGTCAAAGTGCTGCAATGAGCCCATCCCTCATCAAACAAGAACCGGAAGTGTATCCCAGCTTGGACACTTTTAAAGGTATCGAGGTGAAACATGAAGAGGTGAAATGTGAAGAAGTGATGGTGAAGAGCGAAGAAGTGAAGGTAAAATGTGAAGATGAAGATTCAACTCCAAAATCGGACCTTCACATCGATGGAGGCAACGTGAAGCAGGAGGAGAATTCTGACTGTGAGGCAGAGCGAGGCAACTCCCAGCAGTTTGTGGAAGTGGAGGTGTGGGTGGACTTCCTCCGAGACAATACAAAGTCAAATGAAGACCCGGTAGATGTGTAAGCCAGAGACGATGTCGCTCCAATAGATGCCCCTTTGTCAGGCCTTTAATGACAAGAATTTGACGTTGAACACTCGGTTCCTAGGTTCAACCTGCAGGGTAAGAGCGGCCAGTCTTTGTGGACCTGTGGGTTGCGTTGATCTCTAACCATGAGTGGGAGCCAATAAGCTCCCAAGCATTCACTATGTTATCAATTGCATTTATATGGTGCTTGCTTCATCGCCTCGGCAATTCGGATTTTTGTATCGTATCTCGTCTCAAACACTCGAAGAGCATCCCCAAGTAGCAGCTGCTCCTGTGTGGCACAAGGTGGTGGCTCTGCACCGGCCTGCATGTGGACAAGAGCCTGTCAGTAGGGGGCGATGGTTGATGTGGCATCTCAGTTGTGGAGTTTGTTGGTAATGCAAAGTCCTACTCGTTTTGAATGGCGCAAAAGTATGTTGTACATACACTGTTAAGCAGACGGTGGTCATTTTAAAATAGCTTGTTAATACGATGTAACCTGATGCAGTATTTTTCAGTGCAGTAATTAAATTTTGTTAAAATGACCGTCAATAATTTAGAATGAATACTTGTCTGATTGCGTACGTACATGTAACATTTTGTCTATAAGGTTCAAACACTGAACAAGTGATGTTAGGACAAAGTGTGTGTTTTGGAAGTAACCTGTACAGATTACTCAGGTGAGACTCGTTGTTCTTGTGATACAGGTCAAAGGGTACTTTTGTGTTTTCAGGATGCGTCTTGAAATAGGTAGCACACTCGGATCATTTATCAATTACAAGGCATACCACTTAAAAGTTACACTTATAGGAGTTACATTCTCTACAACATGAATTATAATTTTGTATGGCGTGTTGACGTAGATTTTGTCTAACTAGGACTAGAAATGCTCCTTGCTGTTACTGTCTAGATGTTCGTAACCATCGGTTGAAGCAAGCCCGGCTGCTGTTGAGACGCTGTGCACCAATAAGGGTCCACAGGTGGCTTGCACTGAATCAATGACGCACTCCCAGAAGTCTGTGCTAGTTATAGTTTGTGTAAAACATTCCTTTGTTTCGTGGAGAGATCGATAAATGAAAGATGTTGTGTTTGCTGATCTGCTTCATAGCAAGGAGGTAATTTTAAGAGCACATTTGAAATGCATTTTTGGTACAGATTTGTATTCGGTTACAAGGCAGAGCACATCTAGTAGATACATTCTTCACAACAACACTCATTCGAATTTTGCATGACGTCTTATATGTTGGTGAACTAGGACAAGAAATGGTCCTTGCCGATTAACGTCTGGATGTTGACAACCATGGGTTGAAGCAAGCCTGACCGCCTGCGACGCCCCTCACAACCATTTACGGCCTTGGGCCAGGAAAGTCACGAAAATATTGCACACGAACGACGCATCCACGCAAGCACCCGATGCTCCATTTTGAAGTTTGAAAATGAAACAACTTTGAATTGTATTATGTTTTGAATTAGATAATTATATTTCTTCATTAAAAGCTTGTTATTTTACATCTGGAAGACTTAATTGAAAACATTTAGTGTGAATTTTCTCTCGTCGTGAAGTAGATTGCCTAGCCTGGGATTCTGTTCGATGCTGACTTTCACCTGGTTGGGAGAAGACCGCTGTCTGCAGATCGATTCCAACGCGATCGAACGTCTGTCCCTGCGCCTCCGTCGTTCATGCAGGGGGCGCGTAGGTTTGCAGCGCCCCCTGCATGAAAGCGATGGAAAGTGCAGCGTTCGTCACAGATAAATGAAGTCGTGCGCTTATATATATATGTATAAATTGTACACCAAAACCGGTCCACAGTTGACTTGCACTGAATGCTGCCGTAATTATATTTTGTGTAAAACATTCCTTTGTTTCGCGGAGAGACTGATAAATGAAAGACGTCTTGTCTGCTGATCTTGTTCATATCCGTGTACATCGATATCCCACATTGCTTACACTACACACCACACACACGGAAATAAATAGAAACTACAACGACTTCCGGGGATGGGCAAAGATCGAGGAAACTCTTTCAATGGATCGAGTTCAATGTGTTCGATTCAACATATCTGTCCGTCTGTCTCTCTGTTTGCCTCTGTGTGTCTCTCTGCCTGTGTCTCTCTGTCTATGTCGTCTCTGCGTATCTTTCTCTGTCTCTGTGTTCCTCTTGTCTGTGTCTGTCCGCCTGTCTTGTCTGTGTGTGTGTGTGTCTATCAGCGTCTTTCCCACCGGAGTCAACGACAGTCAGTAGCAGCAGGCGCCCGTTCAACTCCCACGACTACACGCGACTCAAACTTGCTCCCAACACAAAGACAAAGATCCCCCGTGTAGCCTTAACAGACTGTAGGGGCAAGTGCTGTTAGCGAGCACCTATTCAGGGTGGGACAGCACACGAGGGGGTGGGTGGCCAGCACCACGCCCGGCCGCCTTTGTCTCCCTAGTGGCGATGTTTACACACCACACCGGGTACTTTTTTGAGGCTGAGTCGACGTAGGGGAGGCTCAGGACCGGTTCAGAAAGTCGTCACTGGCGGTGTTGGCCACGAGCGGGAATGGAACTCGGCTGGTCGGTGCGGAGCGCAGCGCTCACCACGACACTGCCGCTCCCCTTCTGTCAACAAACTTGAACTCTGACCCCGCTAACTGACGTCGCCGCTCAGCGTGACCTCATCAGCGTCAAACCCCACGGGGAGGTGTGCCTCGCTAGTGACGTCATGTCACCAAGGTATTCACCCCACCCAACTCACGCGCTCTTGAGCGTGACGTCACCTCCGCTCGGCCGCTGCCGATGTCTGTTCCAGTGCCAATCCTTATTTGGGCAAAGCCACGCCCGGTGACTGGCGGCTCATTAACATAATGTGTTCGCGAAAGCCGTCGCGGGTTTATTGTGACGGGTTCCGCATCCACGGCCCATCCCTCCATGTTTTGGCCGGGTTCATTAACATTATTTAAGTAACAGCCGCTCATTGTGGGAGGGGAGTTTTATTGTACACCGCAAGTGACGTCATGTCACCTCCTGCCTCGTGACGTCACGATGTAACAGGAAGTTGCCGCTCCGCGCTCGCATTGAAATCCGAGGTGAGAAATTCTCATCGCGGTTGTTGTGGTGGTTGTTGTGGTGGTTGTGGTTGTGTACCGAGGTAGAGCCTCGCTCTCTCTCTCGTAGGGATGTCAATTGAGTAGCAGCGAGCATGGAAGCGATGTCCACGTTGTAACTTCAATTCTCTCGCTTAAGTTTAATTTGTCTTGACCCGGATCGCCACTTTGTAACTTTGTTTAAATATTCTATACTAACACAGTTTTTTTTCATTTTTTTACCAGGCCAAGCCCGCTTGAGCTGCTATACCGCTCTTGTTTTCAGAAGCGACCTTCCCACAACAACAACAACAACAAGGTGAGGCTTGTCAACAGCGTGGTGGTGTTCACTCTATACGCGTGGTGGTGTTCACTCTAGACACGTGGCGGTGTTCACTCTAGACGTGTGGTGGTGTTTACTCTAGACGCGTGGTGGTGTTCACTCTAGACGCGTGGCGGTGTTCACTCTAGACGCGTGGCGGTGTTCACTCTAGACGCGTGGCGGTGTTCACTCTAGACGCGTGGCGGTGTTCACTCTAGACGTGTGGCGGTGTTCACTCTAGACACGTGGTGGTGTTCACTCTAGACGCGTGGTGGTGTTCACTCTAGACGCGTGGTGGTGTTCACTCGAGACACGTGGCGGTGTTCACTCTAGACACGTGGTGGTGTTCACTCTAGACACGTGGTGGTGTTCACTCTAGACACGTGGCGGTGTTCACTCTAGACGCGTGGCGGTGTTCACTCTAGACGCGTGGTGGTGTTCACTCGAGACACGTGGCGGTGTTCACTCGAGACACGTGGCGGTGTTCACTCGAGACACGTGGCGGTGTTCACTCTAGACACGTGGCAGGGTTCACTCTAGACACGTGGTGGTGTTCACTCTAGACACGTGGCGGTGTTCACTCTAGACGCGTGGCGGTGTTCACTCTAGACGTGTGGCGGTGTTCACTCTAGACACGTGGCGGTGTTCACTCTAGACGTGTGGCGGTGTTCACTCTAGACGTGTGGTGGTGTTCACTCTAGACACGTGATGGTGTTCACTAGACGCGTGGCGGTGTTCACTCTAGATGCGTGGCGGTGTTCACTCTAGACACGTGGTGGTGTTCACTCTAGACACGTGGTGGTGTTCACTCTAGACACGTGGCGGTGTTCACTCTAGACGTGTGGTGGTGTTCACTCTAGACGCGTGGCGGTGTTCACTCTAGACGCGTGGCGGTGTTCACTCTAGACGCGTGGCGGTGTTCACTCTAGATGTGTGGCGGTGTTCACTCTAGACACGTGGTGGTGTTCACTCTAGACGCGTGGTGGTGTTCACTCTAGACGCGTGGTGGTGTTCACTCGAGACACGTGGCGGTGTTCACTCTAGACACGTGGTGGTGTTCACTCTAGACACGTGGTGGTGTTCACTCTAGACACGTGGCGGTGTTCACTCTAGACGCGTGGCGGTGTTCACTCTAGACGCGTGGTGGTGTTCACTCGAGACACGTGGCGGTGTTCACTCTAGACACGTGGCGGTGTTCACTCTAGACACGTGGTGGTGTTCACTCTAGACACGTGGCGGTGTTCACTCTAGACGCGTGGCGGTGTTCACTCTAGACGTGTGGCGGTGTTCACTCTAGACACGTGGCGGTGTTCACTCTAGACGTGTGGCGGTGTTCACTCTAGACGTGTGGTGGTGTTCACTCTAGACACGTGGTGGTGTTCACTCTAGACGCGTGGCGGTGTTCACTCTAGACGCGTGGCGGTGTTCACTCTAGACACGTGGTGGTGTTCACTCTAGACACGTGGCGGTGTTCACTCTAGACGTGTGGTGGTGTTCACTCTAGACGCGTGGTGGTGTTCACTCTAGACGCGTGGCGGTGTTCACTCTAGACGTGTGGCGGTGTTCACTCTAGACACGTGGCGGTGTTCACTCTAGACACGTGGCGGTGTTCACTCTAGACACGTGGCGGTGTTCACTCTAGACGTGTGGTGGTGTTCACTCTCTGCATGTGGAGTGGGGACAATCGGGGGACACGGAGGGAAATCGACGCGACCACGGGGGGAGAGAGAGAGAGAGAGGCACGCAAACTCCAAATATACAGCAGGCGTCAGGGTCGGGATCGAACCCACGACTTCCTGTATGCCAGGAGAGGTAGTTAACATCTCACCACGGAGAGAGAGAGACACGCAGCCTCGGCTGTGTCGATTGATCCTCAATGAATTACTTGGTGGAGTGAGGAAGCATTAATACTGAGCAGGTAAAGGTGGCCAGGAGTGGGTCTGGACACACCACCACCTGTGAACCGTGCCAGTGTGTGACAGTGGTGGAGCCAGTGGGAGTGGGGTGGCACGTGCCCCCCCAACGGTCCAATCGAAATCCCTAATTTCGATCGGATCATTGGGGTTTATTAGTAACTCGCTTCACTACCCGGCTTTGCCCGGGACTTGGATTCTTGTCTTGGATACATTTCAAATTTCATATTCCCTTATCTTTCACTGAACAAATTGATGCAAGAAAGATAAACGCCGAAACATATAAATTTACCAGAATCGAATGTTTTCACTCAAGGATATCCAACCTTAACCCACTTCTACGTAAGGTCGATTTTGACAACTCAGGAATGTAATGACGTGGCGAACTGAAAATAGTCGCGTTTAATTAGAAATTCCAGACCGCATAAGCTGTTAAAATTTCATGACGCCAGATCTCAGCGTTGGAGAGTTTTTGCTGCTTCACACAAACAAACAAATGTCATTTCTGCTTCATATGTAAGATAGCAGTTGTACCCGTTCTTCGCACGGATTTGTATTGAAACTCCGAGAAGCCAATGGCTTCATCGGCCTGGAAGGAAGCGCCACCTACAATCTCCCGACACGCTGCGAACAGCTGTAGAAGTACGGCGCGCGAAGAGCCATATGGTAGGGGTAAGCATTGCAGAGTGCTTAACTCAGGTGTGATGCGGGTTGACGCCACATACTTAATGGTAATTTTTCTCACCTTCTCCCCCCCCCCCCCCCCCCTAAAATACAAAAGTGTAATTTTTATACTTTTTACATTGTGTACAGTATGGAACCTACCCACATGCCAAATTTCAAGTGTGTGGCATGTTGGGAAGTATGCTAAACATTTCAAACAGACACGTATCCACACATTTCTCTATAAGATAAATCGGCAGTTTGCGACCCCCACTGCCACCATGTGGCATATTATTACGTGCCAGGGACTCTATGAGAGGACAACAGTCCGAGTCTATAATTGGCAATAAGTAACAGCAAAGCAGTTACAAGCGACTCAGAATTGTGCACAGTTGCGTATACAGTACACGACTTCCTTAAACCAAACGCCTTGAGCGAGCGCGATGCCGATCACACGCGTCGAATAAAAAACAAGGGACAAGTCCTTACTTACTAACAAGTCCTTACTAACAACTCCTTACTTAATAACAACTCCTATCATGTTTCATTGCTGGAGGGGTTGCCCCCCCTACCTGAAAATCCTGGCTCCACCTCTGATTGGGTGACAGTGTCAAGTTTGTATTTGCAGTCAAGTCTATTAACTCTATTGAACACGGAGGTTTTATCAAAACGGTAGTTTTTTGGTTTTCCGCTGGAAATCTTGTAAGAATGGTGTCAGAAAGTTATCACAGCACACGTGCAGTTGAAGTCGGAACTGTTCATCCCAACATTCAAGGACATCTGAGCCTGGCTTCACTCCTCTAAGTTGCGATTGAACATTAATTTATGCATTTCTGCATAACACAAATAGTATTATTTTCAACACCCTTTGCTATTTCAGCTGAATTTAGCTTTCATAAATATTCCTTTGAAGCCAAACAGCCGAAATTGTGTGCTCGGAGTTTTGGGTTAACATTCATTTTGAAGATACGAGGGCTTCCAGGCATGTTTGTGACCATTTGCCCTCTCATTGTGTGCCATAACAGCCTGTGTAATGAATTTGGGACACTTTTTGACTATATCATGAATATATGATATGTACAGTAGTGTAAGTCATGTTGACTGTATATGCATTCCTCTGTGCATCGATACTGACATGTTGATGGTGTGGATATTTCTTTTTTGTCTGCAGCTGTCGCTTCTTCTGCAGAATTGGTCTGATGGAGCAAAGGCACTCGGCTCAGCTCTGTACAACAAGGCAACAATGCGACCGGTGTTCATACAGCACGGATCATCATGGACATTTGACACAACACCAGAGAACTCACACGGGAGATAAACCCTTCAAGTGCAGTGTGTGTGGGAAGGCGTTTGCACAGTCATATGCTCTTGTAATACACCAGAGAACCCACACGGGAGAGAAACCCTTCAAGTGCGGTGTGTGTGGGAAGGCGTTTGCACTTTCATCTACTCTTGTAGAACACCAGAGAACACACACGGGAGAGAAACCCTTCAAGTGCAGTGTATGTGGGAAGGCGTTTGCACATTCATCTACTCTTGTAAAACACCAGAGAATCCACACGGGAGAGAAACCCTTCAAGTGCAGTGTGTGTGGGAAGGCGTTTGCACAGTCATATGCTCTTGTAGAGCACCAGAGAACACACATGGGAGAGAAACCCTTCAAGTGTAGTGTGTGTGGGAAGGCGTTTGCACAGTCATCTGCTCTTGTAAAACATCAGAGAACACACACGAGCGAGAAACCCTTCAAGTGCAGTGTATGTGGGAAGGCGTTTGCACAGTCATCTGCTCTTGTAATACACCAGAGAACCCACACGGGAGATAAACGCTTCAAGTGCGGTGTGTGTGGGAAGGCGTTTGCACTTTCAACTAATCTTGTAGAACACCAGAGAATACACACGGGAGAGAAACCCTTCAAGTGCAGAGTGTGTGGGAAGGCGTTTGCACAGTCATCTACTCGTGAAGCACACCAGAGAACACACACAGGAGAGAAACCCTTCAAGTGCAGTGTGTGTGGGAAGGCGTTTGCACATTCATCTACTCTTGTAATACACCAGAGAACCCACACGGGAGATAAACCCTTCAAGTGCAGTGTTTGTGAGAGGGCGTTTACACAGTCACATCATGTTGTAGCACACCAGAGAACACACATGGGAGAGAAATCCTTCAATTGCAGTGTGTGTGGGAAGGAGTTTGCACTTTCATCAAATCTTCATGTACACCAGAGAGCACACAAGCATCACAATATCCACCAGGGGTGGAGTCTGAAATCAGCTTGTGAAAGTCAAAGTGCCGCAATGAGCCCATCCCTCATCAAACAAGAACCGGAAGAAAATCCCAGCTTGGACACTTTCAAAGGTATCAAGGTGAAATATGAAGAGGTGAAGGTGAAATGTGAAGAAGTGATGGTGAAGAGCGAAGAAGTGAAGGTAAAATGTGAAGATGAAGATTCAACTCCAAAATCTGATCTTCACGTCGATGGAGGCAACGTGAAGCAGGAGGAGAATTCTGACTGTGAGGCAGAGCCAGGCAACTCCCAGCAGTTTGTGGAAGTGGAGGTGTGGGTGGACTTCCTCCGAGACAATACAAAGTCAAATGGAGACCCGGGAGATGTGTAAGGCAGTGACGATGCTGCTCCAATAGATGCCCCTTTGTCACAGGTCTTTAATGACAAGAATGTGAAGTTAAACACTCGGTTCCTAGTAGGGGTCGGCACGGTTTGGCTCAAACCACCAAACCGCGGTTTGAACCGAACCAAATCGGTTTGGTTTGGCTCTTTGAACTGGTTCGGTTTGGTTTGGGGCTACGAAAACCGACTCGGTTTGGCTCGGACAGGGTGGAACCGGCTCAAACTAGTTTGGTTGGTTGTAAAGGCCGAGTACAGCAATATCAAGGACATGATGACGGACATTCTCAACCAGCGCTACCCAGCGTTGACGACGGACGCGGCGCCGAAGGCGGCGCCGCGTGGCGGCATTAACATCCTCTTTGACATGGTCTACGCGCCCAACGCTCACGACGGCGCCGCCTCCGAGGTCGACTGCTTCCTGCTTGAGCCGACTCAGGACCTGAGCATGGACGTCGTCGAGTGGTGGAAGCTGTACGGCGGCAAGTACCCGCGCCTACGACGCGTGGCCCTCGACTATTTGCCTATCCCGGCGTCGTCCGTGCCCTCCGAGAGAGCAAACTCGGCCGCCAAGCGCTCCTTTCTCGACCGACCAAACCTGCACAAGTGCACGTTCAAGGCCGAGATGTGTGTGCGCTGGTGGGCGCGGATGTTGCCTAGTGTTGGGGTTTCACTGCCATTGAACTACCACACTGCGTTCAAGGACATTGGGCGTGCCAAGCTTGAGGAGATGGCTGTGGACGACATCGTCGTCCAGTACTTGCTAGTGAATCTCAATATGAAGAAAGCCTGCGTAGAAATTAGCGATTAATACACTTGATATTTGTATTGAATGCGAATATTGTTTGCCGCGCATCTTTTCGGTTCAAGCCAACTCAAGAGGTTTGGTTTAGCTTAGTTTGGTTTGGTTTTGGTTTGGTTTGGTTCAGTCGTCGCTAGTTTGGTTTGGTTTGGTTTGCTCAATTTGAAACCAGTTTGAGTCGGTTCAAACCGTGCCGACCCCTAGTTCCTAGGTTCAACCTGCAGGGTAAGCGGCCAGTTTTTGTGGACCTGTGTGTTGGGTAGATCTCTAACCAGGAGCGAGAGCCAATAAGCTCTCAAACATTCACTATGTTATCATAATTGCATTTATATGGTGCTTGCTTAATCGCCTCTGGCAACTCTGAGTTTTGTATCGTATCTAATCAAACACTCCAAGAGCATCCCCAAGTAGCTCCCCCTGTGTGGCACAAGGTGGTGGCCCTGCACCGGCCTGCACGTGGACAAGAGCCTGTCAGTAGGGGGCGATGGTTGATGTGGCATCTCAGTTGTGTCGTTTGTAATGTTTGGAATTTGCTCAATTTTGACCCAGACACCAGCATGCAATGGCCTAATCGTTTTAAATGGCGCAATAGTATGTTGTACATACACTGTTAAGCAGACGGTGTGTATTTTTTTAAATAGCTTCTTAATGCGATGTAACCTGATGCAGTATATTTCAGTGCAGTCATTCAATTTTGTTAATATGCCTGTCACTAATTTAGAATGAATACTTGTCTGATTGTGTGCGTACATGTACCATTTTGTCTATAAGAGTCAAACATTGAATAAGTCATGTTAGGACAACGTGTGTGTTTTGGAAGTAACCTGTACAGATTACTCAGGTGAGACTCATTGTTCTTGTGATACAGGTCAAAGGGTATTTTTGTGTTTTTAGGAAGCATCTCCCTCTGGAGTAACTCATTGTCTTTGAAATAGGGAGCACACTCGGATCATTCATCAGTTACAAGGCATGCCACTCAAAAGTTAAACGTAGAGGAGATACATTCTCTACAACACGAATTATAATTTTGTATGGCGTGTTGACACAAATTTCATCTAACTAGGGATAGAAATGCTCCTTGCTGATTAACATCTGGATGTTTAAGCTATCGGTTAAAGCAAGCCTGGCTGCTGTTGAGGCGCTGTGCACCAATAAGAGTTCACAGGTGGCTTGCACTGAATCAATGATGCACTCCCAGAAGGCTGTGCTAGTTATAGTTTGTGTAAACATTCCTTTGTTTCGTGGAGAGACCGATAAATGAAAGAGGTGTCCGCTGATCTTTTTTGTATCTGTGTCCATCGATATCTCACATTGCTTACCACATGTTTATTTAAATATGCAAAGCGTCCTCGGGAGACGTCCCCTCAAAGTCACGGGTGGGTGATGTCGGCGCCTCCCTGTCTCTGGTTTGTGACCTCGCCTCGTCCACGGGACGTGACGACTGTGCACTGTCTTGGAATTCATTCGCAGTCATTAAATCTTGACACATACCAAAGAACACAAGAGAAGCCCATCAGGTGTACTGCGTGTGGTAAGGCGTTTACAGGGTCATCAAATGTTCACAACCTCCGGAGAATACATGTACTAAAACCCTTAAAGTAAACTGTGTTCCGTCATGCCTTTGACGTGTTTTTTTTACTGAAAAACGCGTAAAGAAATCTACAAGGAGCCCAGTTTGAAATTGACGTGCGAGTCAAAAGTGCAACAATGAGTCGATCTCGTAACAACAACCAGAATACAATTCCAGCTTTGATACATGGCCAGGAGTGGAAGTGTCAAGCGAAGAAGTTGCGCTTAAAAGTGAAGAAGAAGATTCTGCTCCAGGACGCGACCTCCATGTGGATGCAGGCAGCGTGAAGCAGGAGCAGCATTCGGACAGAAGGAGAGTGAGACGACCCGCAGGAGTTTGTGGATATGGAGGTGTGAGTGGAGTTTTTGGACACAGCAGAGTAGAAGGGGCTTGCACGTGTGAAGTGGAGTCTGGGAAGGTCTGCAACCAGAAGCGTGACAATCTCCAAAGCATTAAACTCATTCACAGACTTCCCTCACGACAAGAATGGATGCAGCTGTAGGCGTCATCCAGTCGAGCTATGAGCTTTCAATAAATATGCAATCGCAGTGTAGTAAAATATTTTCGAATTGCAAAGAGTGCCTTTCATAATCGCTCATTAATGTTGGTCAGGTTACTAGTGCCTGTATGGTGGGTTCATTCGTGCGATTTGTTACGCAACTTGTGAGGTGACAGGTTATTAACGTTGACCGTTTAATTGTAGGCCAGTCGCCAACAATAACAGCTGCAATTTACCACTAAATGATGGTGATATCACCATGGCGCTTGTGCCAGACCTGGTGCATTTCGAGGCCCAGTGAAGTGTCGAAAGATCACAGAGAGGAGGTCATGGGACAGACCCAGGTGTCACGGGATCACAGGATATCTGACCGATGACTCGGATGCCCCCATTTCCACACGATAGCACAACTTTGAAGAGCAGGCCACACAAACACAGTATCTTACAAGTAGTAATAACCAAAAATATACATCCACTGAAACCTATGTCCGAGTGCGTTTCTGAACTCGTACACGTTTTGATCAGGCGACCTTAACCACCGTTATCCATTCGGGCTGTTTATCTCCATCCTGATATGGGAACATTCCCACTTAACAAAAGGTGTGCGACTCGCAAAGGGGTTCGCACTTTTACCCCTTGGGTCATCCAAACATTCTTTTAAAGCAGACACTCCCTTCCACGACAATTGCGACTGGGTGCTCCCACTGACTGTACGTGTCACCTCTGCACGATAGTACATGGCACTCGCCATCACTCCACAATTTGGGTTCGAGATTACTCGCTAATATTGATGTAAGCCACCTCGCCACACTTTAGTTATTCAATCACGGACCACTTCGGAGCCACAGCTGGGGGGAGAGAGAGGTGGGGGGGGCGACGGAGTTACCCTCGTGCTGTTATTGTCTGCGCAGTGCGCAATCTACCAGTGTTAAAACTGTACTTATGTATCTACCAGTTGTTACTTATTTATTGGACATTTGTTACTTATTTCCTGTTTTAAGTTCACTCGTTTCCGGTTAGTTTGCTTTATTTGTGCACGTTATGATTTTAATGTTAACAATTGATAGTGGAATGTATTACAAATGTAAACTTCGTATTAATGATGGAAATAAGCTGCGGTAACGATGTTAAATATATTAATGCATGAGGCGTATATGCAGGTGCGGGCTGAATTTTTTTTGACACAAAACGCTATTTTTGCGGGGTATATGAGTCTGTGGGTTATATGCGTATGCGGGAAAATACGGTACTTGGGAAGTTTATACAGGTAGGAACAATATGTTCCACACTGCCCACCAGGGATTTTTTGTCTGTCTGTCTCATGCATATTTGTCTGTCGTGCACGAATGCGCTGTCCAACCAAGTTCCTACCTGCCACTCCGAAGGAACGTGTTTTGATTTTGGCGGGTTTTAACGACACATTTATATATTTATGCGATCTAACTCAAAAAAACAACTCTTATGGATGTTATTGGTCGCGAAAGCCTGCTACGTGTTAAACGGATTAAATGTCCTGCACCCCAACCAGACGACCAGGCCTGGCTTTTCGCCGTAGTCCGCTCCTTTCTTTACTGCGAGATGGATATTGGCCAGAGATGGTCGTGGTTAGTTTCGTTATGATGTGGTATTTCCCCGCATCTCAAATGTGTGGGAGGGGTTTCTTTATGCAATTTCGGCTGGGTTTTGGCAAATGCCATTGGTTAATTTGCTCGTAAAAATAAGCCCTGCACCTGTTCTGAATGCAACAATGCACGCACTTCTCCACATTCTGAATCAATCTCGGTGCACGTGGTTCGTGTGATAATTACGTAACTGAAAGCGCATGCTGCACCGCTGATCCAATGGTCGCATGCATGGAACTCATCAATTCCTTCATCACTTGACAAACCCAGAAGCTGCTCTTCCTGTGCCAGTTCACCATCCCCCTCATTCGGACACGTGGCCGTGTGCCACGCTTTGATCCGAGGTGAAATGTTTTCATTATCGTCGTCGTTACGTTGCTTTACCCGGGAAAGCCTCGCCTCTCCTTTTCTTTGTGTGAATATCTATTGAATAGGAACTGTCAATCGATGCAATATTAAAATATCCCAATGTGGGGGCCCAGCCGTGCATTTTGTCTGGATTATCGCTTTACCTTATTGGAGAGAGCCTGCCCGAGTCTCAACTTTCTTTTTTCAGGAGGGTCCTGCCAAGTTTGTCGCAGGGGGGAGGCGATTTTACTGAATGCATTTACAATTTTGTAATATCTAGGTATTTTTTTTCATAATTGCGTTGCATTGGACAAAATCAGATGCATTATTTGTGGGTTTAGCTCCAAGAAGAAACCGGGAAACCTGGACGAATACTATGCAATACAGGGGGAGAACATAGAAACGCCACTTCCTCACGAACGCATAAGATAAAACATCGTCCTCTAGCCTTGGCAGACTGTTGCAGCAAGTTCCGTGAGGTAAAACCTCAGGAGGCTGGCATGGTACACAAGTGGGTGGGTAGCCAGCAATACACCCTAAGCATATCAATAAACCTTCACTTGCTCCTGATAATCCAACTAAGCAGTGGAGTCCATGTCCAGGTTGTAACATTAACATATTACAAAGTGGCGTCCAGCCATGCAGGACTGGCCTGCAACGATTACTGCTGTTATTGTGTTTGATTCTCGCGTAGTTTGTCTTAGTCTGATTACTTCACATCAAATGTAGGGCCTAATCTACGGAGGCCAAATACTCTGCACTATAAATCAAAACACTACACTAATGTGTGTTAGTACAGCCAGCAGCTGGGATCTACAGTCGGCTTGCAGAGAAACCTGCCATCATCATCATGTAGAATTCATAAAGTAATGTCAGGCTAAGACCAATTATATCGCCCTCAAAGGGATTAAAAACAAACAAGTGCAACAGTCACGCCCGACATTTGACATGTTTTTTTTTTAATTATGAATATGTATATAAAACCTAATATGTATATAATTGCTTTAAAAAAATAAAGTGCGTTAAAAAAAATGATAAAAGACCTTGAGAGCATGCAGAAAGGCACGGTTACACCTGAAGGCCACTAATAGCAATGTTCAACAGTTACCATTTATACTCGTTAATTGCATATGTAACCATAGAAACATATATTTTCAATAGGCACCACAATACTTTACATTTCAACGATTTCACTTCTGCACTAACTTATGTCATATATACAGCAAGCTCATGTCTGATTGGATGAGTGAAGCCTGTGAATAAGGCGGATGCTATGCAACCTCATTGTCTCGGTGACGACGAAATAAAGAAGTCCCCTCATCACATACACAAAGTCCTTGCCAGAATCTCACCTCATGTGAACTCTCTTTCACAATGATGGGTCCGGACAAAGCCCGCGTGTGAATGTATATTCGATGTGAGAGTGCATGTATGGGGGATATGTGGGTGTGCTTGAGAGTGCAATTGTTTTAAATGAAAGATAATTTTGGTGCCTGGGGTGTGCTGTCGCTATGCTACTACTATACACTGCAATCAATTCAAGCATTATAACTTTAGAACACCTGAACCCCTTTAACGGAACCCGCTTGCACCATTGAACACAACCACTCAGGATTCTAACCACAGCAACCACAATTGTTTAACACTCACAAGGACCGATTGACCATGATCATAGCTTAAGTACTGTACAACTGCGTGTGTGTGTGTGGAAACAGACTTCTCACCTCAGATCCAGCTGGCATTGTGTGTCTTGACAATGTACATTTGTTACCCACAATAGAGATGTTTCGGTTTAGATCGCGTAAATATAAATGTGTCCTGAAACGTTCCAGTACCTGACACAGCCAATTAGTAAGGTTTGTCACCTAAATAAAACACGCCAATTAGTTACTAGTTAAGCACTACTCGTTATGTTGGAGGGTAAACCACAGAAACATTGACAGGCTGTACGATGTTTTGCCGGTTATCACAACCAGCCTCATCAGGCGACAGCCAGAATTGTGGGTACAATCATCCTGATCCGGTCTGAGAGAGGGGGGGTCAATGTGATGTCGTCACTGTGAGCCAATCAGGTGCCAGGACCAGAGGTGGGCAGGTTAATGTCAAATACATCATCGTGCTTGTCCACCATCGCCACATGGAACCTCTTGTAGTAGCAGCTCTCTCGCTGGTTCAGCAGTTCCACTGCTGAATTATATTTTTCCGCCTTTGGACGACCGCTTGTGTTGCGATCGAAACGTGATTTATTTCACTTTTTTGTTTCATTTGATTTTTCTACCTACGTGACTTTACCGCAATAACCAAAGAGTATGGATTCCTGCAGTCACGAAAGCTTCAAATCAAGAATAAATCATAATGGCTTTCTACTATTCCTTGAATTATTCACGTTTAATCAACATACATCGTGTATGTACATTATGTGCGTACATTGCGTGTGGACACACAGACTTCTCACCTCAGACGCAGCCGGTAGCGAATGCGTCGTCCTGCCTCCACAATCCACGTTTGTCAAGCTGCGCGGCCCCCGGTGGCTGCCGTGGGCTGGCGCGTCCGTTGTCATCGACGTCACGGAGCGCTCGGCCACGTGACCTCAGGGGGTGAGGGTGGTGGGGGATTTAAATGGCGACCATTGCGACCACAGCCGCGCGGTGGAGCGGTGCTCGTGGTCGTCTCTGCTTGGCATCGCAGCGCCCCGCAAAGCAAACATCTGTGAGTCGTCGCGTCCTTACATGCTGGTTGCGGCGAAGTACATTCAGGGTTATGTTAATGAGCAGGAATTCAGTGCGGTACTGTATGGGACGAAAATAATTTTATTTTTGGCTCCATTATCAGGCACCTGGTTGCAGCCATTGTGCTGTTTGCAAGCTGCCTTGCTGACGACATTGCCGCACAGGAACGAAGGACGTAAGTTTATGGAGGGAGTAATTGTAGTGCTTGATGTGGGTATTAATAGTATGTGTGTGGTGGCGTGTGTACATGTAATTATTTTAACGCGAGTGTGTATGTGCATGCATTGTATTCCTTACCAGGCGATGTATACTTGATGTATTTAGTTGTAGCTTTTGTATAGCGTCTATGTTGTGTAGAAGGAGGTCTGTAGTGTTGGTAGGTAGATGTAAATATTTTAGAGTGGTATTTATTTTTTAAATAAACATTCCGGTGTGTTAGAGGTGAGCCGTGCACATGCAGAGAGGACAGTAAGGAGCCGGAAGTGGATGAATTTGGTGGCTAAAATGTAGGCCTGGTAACAGGGAAGGATATCGTGGTAAATATGAGAACAAATATAACAGTTCAGTGCAGACACTTCTGTTATGGTTAGTGCGTGGAATTGTAGTATATGAAATGTCATAATGTGTTTGCATGTGTGGCAAACCAGAAGTAGCGAGAATGCCCAGGGCTTAAACGCCATTACGTAGGTAAGGCTAAAGTATTGAATATTGTGCTTTTAGCTTTCGCGCGGCACTTTCTAAAAACGTGACCACTGCGATATTCAAGGGGCTGCTGTATTTTCTGTCGATCGACTACCACAGAGGAGTACGAATTTTCAGCAGAAATTATATCTGCTTTCTTGATGTAATTTAGGCCTATAGTACCATAAAGAGGCCTGGGGCTTTGGGTTGGTTTTTGTTTTCGATGTCTCTGCCTCCGCTCACATTCATTGAGGATTTTTTTTATTTTGGGCAGGCCCGTCTAAAGCTGCGTGACCAGGAGTCGGAGCCATTTCCTGTTCAACTTTGCTCATGACATAAATTATCTCTGGCGCCATGCACTACATTACATCTTCAATAATTACATAGTTAGAAAAGCTCACAATGGCCATTTAAATAAATTGCATTATTTATGGTTACAATGAAACGCTCATCGATGCCTGGTCAAAGTTAAGGGATGGTTCCCTGCTGGTTAACCATGTTACATCTGCTGATGATCTGGTAATGGCCGCTCCATGAGATGGAGTTGGATAATCTTGTTCTGTGTCCGGATAATTCCATCATGAAATGGGGCCTTGTGTATGTTCCACAAAAATAAATCGCCTGTCATGAAATTTCATGTCATACGGGCAGTTCTACAAGTGGCGGAGAAGCTCTCATAGCTGGTTAATGCGTTCACACCAAGCTCTGGCAGCCAAAGTCTCACTTCAAATTAGTCGAGCAGCATTCTTTCATTAGACTGTAACACTGTGGAAGCTGCCTGGACTTTTGCTGAATACAAATCTGCGAGTGTCTACCGCGAAGGTCTAGTTCATCGCACCCGCCCCTCACCATTTTTCCTGCGGATGGTGGGCGCACGTGATGCTGCCACGTCGCCGTTTTAGGCTGGGCCCGATCGAGTTACGTGGGTCACCCGGCCAAGAGGCGCTTGCTGGTGAACACAACCCCCTGGGCCTGGCTCAAGGAGTGATTTCGCCGTCCTACTTGCCATGCTGCCACCGTGACCCTCACCAGGACAAGCGGATTCATAAACGTATGAACAAAGCTGTGATTTTTCGATTTAAAGCTTTCGTGACTGCAGGGATTCATCTTCTTGGTTCTTTAGGTAAAGTCACGTAGAATGGAAATAATAAAATAAGAAAAATAAAACTTAAAAAATTCTCTTCCTCCTCCCTCACCTGAGGACGTCTGCTTGCGTTGTGGCCGAAACGTCGTGAGAATTATTTTATTATGTTTTATTTTTATTATTTTATTATTTCCATTCTACGTGACTTTACGGAAAGAACCAAGAAGATGAAAGCTGTGATTCTTCTGGGCCACAGATATTACTCCCCTGTGGATGCAAAATATGAACGTATTGAAATGACCGTCTGTGCTGGCTTATAGAATGAAGGCTGGCCTGCCTATGATCCAGCCTCTATTGAACCAGACTATATTGTATTAGAAGCTTAAAGATCCTTAATATAGAAATCTAATCGGTAAGTCTCTTTGGCAGGCGAGGCTGCATTGGTTTGTTCATGAATCCCGCATTCCCAGACACCGCATGCTCAAGCAGCTTCTGTTAGTCCAGACTTTAGCGGCTAAATAGGCATGGTATGGGCTCGAAGAGATTGGAGGATGTGGAGGTGATTGGACCTGCAGATGACTGGTGCCAGGAGTGTCGAGATCGGCCTCTGTGGAGGAGGCCCGCGAGGTATGCTGCAGGACAGTCAACGATATTTGCTCTCTAACAACGATGAGGTCGGAGGAGCGACGCTCGCATGAATGGGTGGACCGCTGGGTTCCTAAAACCCAGCAAGACAGTGGGAAGCACAGCTTGGTGCATCTGTCAGTAATCCCTTGACACCTGGACCGTTCCCATGACCGGCTGACAAGTGATACACTTAAATTGCCCCTAAAATGGCATTAGCACTGTGATAAGGTCACTTCCAATTCGTCATGAATGGTGGATGTTTTGTTTATATAATATGTTCATGATCCATGTGAAATGGATGTGTATTTAAGAGTCTATCTTCGTGGGGAGCGGTGGCGCAGTTATTTCACTGCATTGTGAACTTAATTAGTTTTATTGTAGCCGACAGCAAACATGATTGATGAGTGAAAGCTGAACTTATTGTGCACCTCTGCTATGTTGATTGATCGTCAATTAATTACATGGTGAAGTGAGGAAGCATTAATACTGAGCAGATGAACGTGGCCAGGCATGGTTCTGGACACACCACCACCTTTTTCCCATGCCAGTGTGTGACCGTGTAAAGTTTGTATTTGCTGTAAAGTATATTAACTCGATTGAAGACAGGTTACATCAAAACGATACTTTTTTTTCCCCTGGAACTTTTTATACGAATGGAAACTGGAAATTAACACTTCACATGCAGCTGAAGTTAGATCTGTTCATCCGAGCATTCAAGGAAATATGAGCCTGGATTCACACCTCTAAGTTGTGATTGAATATACATTTTTGCATTTCTGCACAACACACAGGAATATTTTCAACACCCTTTGCTATCCATACGATCTTTTTGGGTTAGATCGTATAAATATATAAATGTGTCGTTAAAACCCGCCACCACCCGACACAGCCAACTAGTAAGAGTTGTCACGTAAACAGAACGTGGCAACTCGTCACTAATACAGCACAACTAGCTTCATCAGGTGACAGCCAAATGTGTGGAGAAGTCTTACCGTATCGTTCCTTGTATAGAGGTGTAGATGTGGTGACCACCTTTCTGCGCTCTTGCACCACGTGGGGGGGGGGGGGATTACTGAGGCAACGTTCATTATGCATGTGCATTATGCGAGCCCTTTGAACTTGTCCTTCCTGTCTATTGTTTTTTTCTTTATCGCCCTACCAACAGTAATCCCTATTGAAGTACGCCACCCTTTGTAGGCATGCATTTAAACATGTATTATTTGATGATTCGCTTCCACGCAGCGCAGACGGTTATTTTGATTTCTTCCAATTTCGATAGATTCTCTAATTAGTCTTGTCCAGTAGTAGCTGGTTTTGCACAAAACATCAACATAATCAAAATGAATTGAGTGTCCTTGTTGGCATGCGTGTTCTGCTACTGCTGCTATTTGGGAGAATTGAATATTTCTCTGATGTTCTTTTAGTTTCGTGCTGATGATTCGTCCTGTTTGCCCAACATAACATTTGCCACACGTGCAGTTAATCCTGTACACACCTTCTATTGATAGCTTCGATAATACATCTTTTGGACCAGATATTAAATTCTGTATTTTATGTACCATGCCAAATCTGACAAGGATGTTGTGCTTTTTCCAAACATCTGGCTAGTTTATCAGTTACTCCCGCAATGTACAAAGGGCAGCGTACTTCAATAGGGATTACCGTTGGTAGGGCTATTTTAATAAACAATAGAAAGGAAGAACACGTTCAAAGGGCTCGCATAATGCACATGCATAACATACGTTGCCTCAGTGTGCAAGAGCGCAGAAGGGTGGTCAACACATCTGCGGCTCTATTTAAGGAACGAAACAGTAAGACTTCTCCACAAATATGGCTGTCACCTGATGAAGCTAGTTGTAGGTACTGGCGAAACGTCGTACTCATTTTGTAAATGTTGTGGCTTGGCTCTCCAACACACCGGTGTGCTGTACTAGTGACGAATTGGCATCTTCTGTTTACGTGACAACCCTTACTACTTGGATGTGTCGGGTGGTGGCGGGTGTTAACGACACATTCAGCCGATATTGTGTGCTTGGAGTTTTGGATTAACATTCATTTTGAAGATTATCAGGCTTCCAGGCATATTTATGACTATTTGCCCTCTCACTGTGTGCCCGAACAGCCCATGTGATCAATTGGGGAATATCTTGAATATCAATAAGTATAGACGTGTAAGTCATGTGTGACTATATAATATGCATTCCTCTGCCTCGATACTGCCGTAGATGGTGTTGTTGTTTTTGTCTGTATCTGTCGCCTCCTCTGACGCTTCCTCTGCAGAAATGGTCTGATGGAGCAAAGGCACTCGGCGCAGCTCGGTAACAACATGCAACAATGCGACCAGTGTGCATACAGCACGGATCATCCTGGACATTTGAAACGGCACCAGAGAATTCATACAAAAGAGAAACCCTTCATGTGCACTGTGTGCAAAAAGGCATTTGCATGCTCATCACACCTTCAGAGCCACGAGAGAACACACACGGGAGAGAAACCCTTCCAGTGCACTGTTTGTGAGCAGGCATATTCATCGTCATCAGTTCTTCAAATACACCAGAGAACACATACGGGAGAGAAACCCTTCCAGTGCACTCTTTGTGAGAAAGCATTTGCACAGTCATCACACCTCAAATTTCACCAGAAAACACACACGGTAGAGAAACCCTTCCAGTGCGCTGTTTGTGACAATGCATTTGCATATTCATCTTCTCTTAAAAGACACCAGAGAACACACAAGCATCAGAAGATCCACAAGGAGTGGAGTCTAAAATCGGCTTGTGAAAGTCAAAGTGCCGCAATGAGCCCATCAATCCTGAAACAAGATCTGGAAGAAAAACCCAGCTTGGACACTTTGAATGGTATCAAGGTGAAATATGAAGAGGTGAAGGTGAAACGTGAAGAAGTGATGGTGAAGAGCGAAAAAGTGGAGGTAAAATGTGAAGATGAAGATTCAACTCCAAAATCTGACCTTCACATCGATGGAGGCAACGTGAAGCAGGAGGAGAATTCTCACTGTGAGGCAGAGCGAGGCAACTCCCAGCAGTTTGTTTGTGGCAGGTGTGGGTGGACTTCTTAGACAATACAAAGTCAAATGGAGACCCGGTAGATGTGTAACCTTTAGACAATGAAGCTCCAATAGATTCACCCTTGTCACAGGCATTTAATGAAAATAACGTGAAGTTGAACACTCAATTCCTAGGTTCAACTTGCAGAGTAAGATGCGGCCAGTATTTGTGAACCTGTGGGTTGGGTAGATGCCCATCCAGAAGCGAGAGTCAATAAGCTCCCAAACATTTACTATGTTATAATAATATTTGCATTCATATGGTGCTTGCTTAATTGCCTCGGCAATTCGTAGTTTTGTATCGTATCTCGTCTCAAACGCTCGAAGAGCATCCCCAAGTAACAGCTGCCCCTGTGTGGCACAAGGTGGTGGCCCTGCACCGATCTGCATGTGGACAAGAGCCTGTCAGTAGGGGGCGATGGTTGATGTGGCATCTCAGTTTTGGAGTTTGTAGGTAATGTTTAGAATTTGCTAAATTTTGACCCGGACGCCAGCATGCAATGGCCTACTGGTTTTGAATGACACACCAGTAAGTTTTACATCCACTGTTAAGCAGATGGTGCATTTTCTTTTATATCAGCGCCTTGTATATACGACGTAACATGATTCATTAATTCAATTTTGTTAATATGCCTGTCAATTTAGAATGAATACTTGTCTGTGTGCGTACCTGGAACATTTTGTCTATAATTGTCAAATATTGAATAAGTGATGTTTGGACAAATTCCGTTTTTGGAAGTAACCTGTACAGATAACTCGGGTGAGACCTGTTGTTGTTGTGATGCAGGCCAAAGGTTATTTTTGTTTCAGGAAGCATCTGCCTCTGGAGCAACTTATTGTCTTTGAAATAGGGAGCACACTCGGATCGTTCACCAGTTACAAGGCATACCACTAAAAAGTTACGTATAGGAGATGCATTCTCCACAACACTAATTATAATTTTGTATTACGTGTTTATATAGATTTTGTCGAACTAAGACTATAAATGCACCTTGCTGATTAACATCTGGATGTTTGGAACAATGGTTAAAGCAAACCCGACTGCTGTTGAGACGCTGTGCACCAATAAGGGTCCACGGGTGGCTTGCACTGAATCAATGATGCACTCCCAGAAGGCTGTGCCAGTTATAGTTTGTGTAAAACATTCCTTTGTTTCGTGGAGAGACCGATAAATGAAAGAGTGTCCGCTGATCTTTTTTGTATCTGTGTCCATCGATATCGCACATTGCTTACCACATTTTATTTAAATATGCAAAGCGCCCTCGGGAGACGTCCCCTCAAAGTCACGGGTGGGTGATGTCAGCGCCTCCCTGTCTCTGGTTTGTGACCTCGCCTCGTCCACGGGACATGACGACTGCACTGTCTTGGAATTCATTCGCAGTTATTAAATCTTGACACATACCAAAGAACACAGAAGAGAAGGCCATCAGGTGTACTGCGTGTGGTAAGGCGTTTACAGGGTCATCAAATATTCACAACCTCCGGAGAATACATGTAAAAAAACCCTTAAAGTAAACTGTGTTCCGTCATGCCTTTTTGAAGTGGGTTTTTTTTACTGAAACGCGTAAAGAAATCTACAAGGAGCACAGTTTGAAATGGACGTGTGAAAGTCAAAGTGCAACAATGAGTCGATCTCGTAACAACAACCAGAATACAATTCCAGCTTTGATACATGGCCAGGAGTGGAAGTGTCAAGCGAAGAAGTTGCGCTTAAAAGTGAAGATGAAGATTCTGCTCCACGACGCGACCTCCATGTGGATGCAGGCAGCGTGAAGCAGGAGCAGCATTCGGACAGAAGGAGAGTGAGACGACCCGCAGGAGTTTGTGGATATGGAGGTGTGAGTGGAGTTTTTGGACACAGCAGAGTAGAAGGGGCTTGCACGTGTGAAGTGGAGTCTGGGAAGGTCTGCAACCAGAAGCGTGACAATCTCCAAAGCATTAAACTCATTCACAGACTTCCCTCACGACAAGAATGGATGCAGCTGTAGGCGTCATCCAGTCGAGCTATGAGCTTTCAATAAATATGGAATCACAGTGCAGTAAAATATTTTCGAATTGCAAAGAGTGCCTTTCATAATCGCTCATTAATGTTGGTCAGGTTACTAGTGCCTGTATGGTGGGGTCTTTCGTGTGATTTGTTACGCAACTTTTGAGGTGACAGGTTATTAACGTTGACCGTTTAATTGTAGGCCAGTCGCCAACAATAACAGCTGCAATTTACCACTAAATGATAGTTATCACCATGGCGCTTGTGCCAGACCTGGTGCATTTCGAGGCCCAGTGAAGTGTCGAAAGATCACAGAGAGGAGGTCATGGGACAGACCCAGGTGTCACGGGATCACAGGATATCTGACCGATGACTCGGATGCCCCCATTTCCACACGATAGCACAACTTTGAAGAGCAGGCCACACAAACACAGTATCTTACAAGTAGTAATAGCCAAAAATATACATCCACTGAAACCTATGTCCGAGTGCGTTTCTGAACTCGTACACGTTTTGATCAGGCGACCTTAACCACCGTTATCCATTCGGGCTGTTTATCTCCATCCTGATATGGGAACGTTCCCACTTAACAAAAGGTGTGCGACTCGCAAAGGGGTTCGCACTTTTACCTTTTGGGTCATCCAAACATTCTTTTAAAGCAGACACTCCCTTCCACGACAATTGCGACTGGGTGCTCCCACTGACTGTACGTGTCACCTCTGCACGATAGTACATGGCACTCGCCATCACTCCACAATTTGGGTTCGAGATTACTCGCTAATATTGATGTAAGCCACCTCGCCACACTTTAGTTATTCAATCACGGACCACTTCGGAGCCACAGCTGGGGGGAGAGAGAGGTGGGGGGGGCGACGGAGTTACCCTCGTGCTGTTATTGTCTGCGCAGTGCGCAATCTACCAGTGTTAAAACTGTACTTATGTATCTACCAGTTGTTACTTATTTATTGGACATTTGTTACTTATTTCCTGTTTTAAGTTCACTCGTTTCCGGTTAGTTTGCTTTATTTGTGCACGTTATGATTTTAATGTTAACAATTGATAGTGGAATGTATTACAAATGTAAACTTCGTATTAATGATGGAAATAAGCTGCGGTAACGATGTTAAATATATTAATGCATGAGGCGTATATGCAGGTGCGGGCTGAATTTTTTTTGACACAAAACGCTATTTTTGCGGGGTATATGAGTCTGTGGGTTATATGCGTATGCGGGAAAATACGGTACTTGGGAAGTTTATACAGGTAGGAACAATATGTTCCACACTGCCCACCAGGGATTTTTTGTCTGTCTGTCTCATGCATATTTGTCTGTCGTGCACGAATGCGCTGTCCAACCAAGTTCCTACCTGTCCACTCCGAAGGAATGTGTTTTGATTTGGCGGGTTTTAACGACACATTTATATATTTATGCGATCTAACTCAAAAAAACAACTCTTATGGATGTTATTGGTCGCGAAAGCCTGCTACGTGTTAAACTGATTAAATGTCCTGCACCCCAACCAGACGACCAGGCCTGGCTTTTCGCCGTAGTCCGCTCCTTTCTTTACTGCGAGATGGATATTGGCCAGAGATGGTCGTGGTTAGTTTCGTTATGATGTGGTATTTCCCCGCATCTCAAATGTGTGGGAGGGGTTTCTTTATGCAATTTCGGCTGGGTTTTGGCAAATGCCATTGGTTAATTTGCTCGTAAAAATAAGCCCTGCACCTGTTCTGAATGCAACAATGCACGCACTTCTCCACATTCTGAATCAATCTCGGTGCACGTGGTTCGTGTGATAATTACGTAACTGAAAGCGCATGCTGCACCGCTGATCCAATGGTCGCATGCATGGAACTCATCAATTCCTTCATCACTTGACAAACCCAGAAGCTGCTCTTCCTGTGCCAGTTCACCATCCCCCTCATTCGGACACGTGGCCGTGTGCCACGCTTTGATCCGAGGTGAAATGTTTTCATTATCGTCGTCGTTACGTTGCTTTACCCGGGAAAGCCTCGCCTCTCCTTTTCTTTGTGTGAATATCTATTGAATAGGAACTGTCAATCGATGCAATATTAAAATATCCCAATGTGGGGGCCCAGCCGTGCATTTTGTCTGGATTATCGCTTTACCTTATTGGAGAGAGCCTGCCCGAGTCTCAACTTTCTTTTTTCAGGAGGGTCCTGCCAAGTTTGTCGCAGGGGGGAGGCGATTTTACTGAATGCAATTTTGTAATATCGTCCTCTAGCCTTGGCAGACTGTTGCAGCAAGTTCCGCGAGGTAAAACTTCAGGAGGCTGGCATGGTACACAAGTGGGTGGGTAGCCAGCAATACACCCTAAGCATATTAATAAACCTTCACTTGCTCCTGATAATCCAGTTAAGCAGTGGAGTCCATGTCCAGGTTGTAACATTAACATATTACAAAGTGGCGTCCAGCCATGCAGGACTGGCCTGCAACGATTACTGCTGTTATTGTGTTTGATTCTCGCGTAGTTTGTCTTAGTCTGATTACTTCACATCAAATGTAGGGCCTAATCTACGGAGGCCAAATACTCTGCACTATAAATCAAAACACTACACTAATGTGTGTTAGTACAGCCAGCAGCTGGGATCTACAGTCGGCTTGCAGAGAAACCTGCCATCATCATGTAGAATTCATAAAATTATATCGCCCTCAAAG